CTCGCATGTGGCAAGGTCCTGCTTCAGCTTGTTCTCCTCGAATAGAAGTTCGGACTGGTGAACCTTGACCCATTGCTTGTGTCTCTCGCAACGCTTCTTCGTACAGACTCCACGGGACAACTTGGCCAACTCGTCCTCATCTTCATCCTCCGTCTTGGTGCCATTCATGGCCGTGTCGCCATCCGCATCCACAGCGTCTGGATAGCTGGAAGCAAGTGCCTCAGGGGTGCCCTCCTCAAGCGCTTTGGCTCCGAGCCTGGACAGTCTCCAATCATCGAATTCCTCGTCTGACCATGCGAGGCGTGTGTCGAACCCACAGATATCCTTCCATCCTCCCTTTGGATCTGTTTGCTTCAGCTTCTCGACAATGCTCTTTGATCGCTGACGTATGAGTGTCATGAACGTGGAACGCGTGTTGAGTATGTCGCGCCGGTGGAGAAGTTCCTCTCTTTGTTTGCGCAATTGCTCAAGTTTAGATGCCTCGTCGTGAGAATAGGTCAGGCCTTCAGGATCCACGTCCAAGCCCAGTTTCTTGCTCGACCTTGCTCCTGTCACAGGGTCCTCCTCGTCTGGCGGCGGCGAAATAATGCGCTCTCCCAGTTTACGAAACTCCTCCGCAGAGGAGACGGCCATGACGACTGCGTGGAGATCACCAGTTGTAAGAACACCTCCTCTGCTGCCAAGCTCCTCCCATTCTTTCTTGGCAGGATCGCCGGGGGTTTTGTTGAGTTGCTGGATCCGTCGACGCATGAACTCCCGGCCGTGCTCGTCAGAGCAATACTTACTGGGGTTCTTGCCTGTCACACGAGCGGGTTTCCGACAACCCTTTAGTCGACACATGGGTTTCCACGTCGTCCATCCTTTGCCCTCCGCCTTGCAATTCGGGCCTGATGTGCATTAGCTCACTTCAGAGTACAAGCTGCCTAAGCCGAGACTCACAGATGTATTTGTCTATCAAGTCTGCATCTTTGGGATCGATGTTGATGCATTTTCCATGAAACCAATCATCGCATCCCCCGTCGCATGCAATCATCCACGTATGATCATCACCCTTGCGACAGATGCAGAAAACCCCGTCATCCTCCGACGAATCTTCTTCTGGTTCTTCCTCCTCTTCCTGTTTCTCTACTTTCGCCTTCTTGGCACTCTTCTTCCTTTTCTTACCCTCGGGAGCCGGAGAGCCCGCGACAGATACGGATCCCTGCTTTTTGATTCCCGGCGTCTTGCTGGCGCGTGTCGAAGAAGGGGTGTTGGAGCGACGGCTCTCCGCATCTTCGCTCGCAAGTTCGTCTATTTTGCGTTTCTTTGTCGCTTGTTTCTTGGCTGTCCCTTTCTTCGATGCACCGGGGCCCGGCTTTCTTCTCCCGGCTGCCTTGGTGGAACCAGACGGCGATGATCGATCTGTCGATGATGCTCTTGAAGCCAACTCACTCTTCAGATCAGCGACTTTCCTCGGCGTCGGATGTTCTTCGGGCAAAAGGGTGCCGTCAAGTTGTGCCAGAGCGGGCAGGATTTCCGCTTCGTTGCTTGGAGGATACTTGTCCAATGACGGCTGCAGAGGCTCAACTTTCACCTCAGGTGCAGCTGCAGTATGATGATCTGGGAGGCCGTTCGTCCCACCAACGTCTGGAATATCGTCATAGAGGTCGGCCCAGACCTGTGTTACGTTGACCCCGCCATTGTCAATGACGGGACGCTCCGGTATCCGAAACTGACGATGTATCTGCTTTGCTCTCTCAAAGCCAAAGAACCCACATTGTCGCCAGCCGAGAATGCCAACGATCCGGCCATCCTTGACCACGATATTCGACCGGATCATATCGTTGTGAACCAGGTGGAGCTGCTCCGTCCCCTTTCTATCTTGAAACAATATGTCCCTTTCGGAGTCTTCGACGCCCGGAGGTGATTGAGAGTTGAGTTCGCCGCAGACATACGACGCAGAATCCGGTGCAGGCTCAACGATTGCAAGGCGCTGAATAATTCGACGGCATTGTTGTTTAAAAGCGCCAATTTGTTCAATCGTGAGATACTTCCAGGCAACCTCCAAAGACACACCGGGAATTCTAGACTCCACGGTGACATTCTTTCCGTCAATTGTGCCACAAAAGTATATGATTGGTACCGCAACATCGAGTTCTTGAAGAGCATCCTGCGCCCTTCTAGCAGCACTCAACTCGTTCGTATTAACATTTGAATATCGTTCCGCAGCCGCACCAGCCGCAGGTTCCTGGTCGACTTTGATTAGAACGCTGCCAGCAGCGTATACCTCCCTCGTCCCAGGCACATTCATGGAATTTTCCGGAGTGCAGGATGTTCGCACTATCTCCTCCCAATACGAAGTGGCATCCGGTTCCGCCTGGTACCAACCATCGTAGCGGGGTTTGAAGTCATCGACATGCGGGGCATAGCGGCCGTATTGCGGGCTTCGAGAGAGAAATGGATCGGTCGGCGGAATCAATTCTGGATTTGTCTCGTAAGGATTTGTGGTGGATGGGTCGAGACCTATTGAGCCGTTGACCTGGCTGGGCTCCGCAGGCGCGGTCGCGTGTCCAGCCATTGCAATGTGGGATCTTTGCACACAACTGAAAAGAAAGATGTCGTGTTAAATGAGGGCAAGAGCATTTGAAAGGGTCTGGATCATGTATACAAGCCGATGCGACAAATCCCCGCCGAAATTGTCCCAAAGAGAAGTTTGCAGCTGAAGGCTAGGTGGTGAATATCGATCTCGCCCGTGAAGGTGATAGCATCCTGGTAAGGCACTTCTCTCAGTAAAAGTCTAGAAGAACAGCAACTCAAAGGTGCTATAGTAGCGCACTCAGTCGTCGAGGGATGGCGCGAGTAGAGCCTTTCTGAACAGTCGTTTTGCTGAACAAGGATAGCGACCAGTTTCGAGATGAATGCGGACCGGATGGCTCCCACAATACTGGAACGACAGCAAATATTATTGTGATGCAGCAACAGGTATTCAAAGTAGTTCAAAAAACATGATTCATTCAATTATTCGCAGGATCTCTCAGAACAGTAGGGAGCGTAAGATCGCATGCCATCAACTGCGCGACCGGCGACGCGGCGAGCAAAAGATCGCAATTCCAGGATTTGGCAGTCGGCGGCCGGACTTACTGAAGGCGGTGAGACTATCTCCGACACTGCCTTAATGTCATGTGACACTCTTCCCTTCTAAGTCTGATCACGTGATATCAGGGTCCTAAATAGAGTATTATGCCTACCTCTCTTTCTTTCAGTGCTTGTTCTACAATTGGAGGATTCAACAATCTGAGAAGGGATTATTATGGCTGATCCTCGTTTCTTACCTAAGGTCAGCTGTGACAGCGCAGGCTGACTACATTTCATGGATGACAGCACAACTGAACCCATCCTTCTGAAGGATGAGTTCTGTCCAAAGCTGCAGAGGAAGACTAAGATTCCAGTGAGTCTATGATGCGATTACAAGGCTCCAGGCTCCTGAACCGGGGAACTTCATTCACAGGATATGGAGCAATCGAGAAGGCAGTGACTACCATTCGATGTCCGAATTAAATTATGTCCAGCCGGTGTCTGTAGGGGTCAGTACCTATGGCAATTATGGTAGCACTCAGCACAGCCGTCACATGTAGACGCAGTCAGCGAGTCCTGCCTGCCGTAGCACGGTCAGGAATTGTGAGCATTGTCCATCGTCGAGAGCTTTTGCAGTACAGAGATTACGATGACCAAATAATACCAATTGCTCTTCTCCTTCCCAGCTGGTCCTGTATCATGCAGAACGCCAGGATCATGAAAGTGAAACATGCCAACCTCATCATGTTTACTTTGTCTTGGCAGGAATAATAGTAACACAGATGAAGAGTAGTATCTAGACTAGCGCATGGTGACATGGTGTGTCTTCAGAATGACCCGTTGAACTGTCAAAGAATTCAAGGTCAATGTGAAGTCCTTGATCAAACATACAGGTCAGCATTCTCACTCCTGCCAGGGTCTCAGTTCTCGAACCATTCTCATTAAAGTTGAAACGCCGATAAGAGAGAGATGCTAAGCCACCGGCAGCACAACAACTAGTCCATTTCCGCACGGCTGAGGAGTTCCGACTGACGAGTAAGACTGACCGGAGTGATCAGGTGGAGATCGTCAGAAAGGCATTTGACTTTCCTCAGGATTCAGCTCGTCTCTAGTCTACTCTGCTCTCTTCTCTTGAGTCTCGAATTCTGGAGTCTCTGTCTGCTGGTCCATCCCCACCTTAAATCCCCTCATACCGGGACTAGGCGGGTGGGTGATGCTCAGAATCTAAGGACTGGACTGGACCGGCCGATCGATAACTACAGGACCATTGTTCGTCAGTTCCGCGATCCAATTTGATTCGAGATTCCAATCTGACAACTTTGTACTGTGGGGAATAGTCCCAAGAATTGAGACGTTGGCTTGAAGCTGAACCAAAACACCGCAAAGTCAATACTCTCCGTCACTGTCTTCATGCGCTGATCGTCCACTTGTCGCTTTTCTGATGTCGAGTGCGCTTTCAATTCCTGCATAAATTTTAATCCAGGTTTCGCTGTTTTTCTGAAATCCCCAGTGTTCTTCGTTTGGCCAGTGGACTGCTCAGCTAGTTTCCAGTCTTTTGGAGTCTGGAGACATTCTTCACCACCACCTGTCGCGATCCCGGCCATTAACACCCCACCCCGCCTTATCATCAATATTCAACCTCAAAGATCGGCGTCAATGAAGGTTCTCGACCATTAAACCGAGTTGATCGTGGTATAACTGAAGAATATCTACACTGTGTCGTCTCATCCCAGCTACGCTTGTTTCCAGCACTGAACCCCGCATATACTGAGATCGGCTGGACAGTACTTTTGCTTCTGCTTGGGATATTCCATAACCGAAGAAGCGCAGAGTGTTTAATTGATGATGCGCCGTCGTCATTTATCGCTTACGAGAGCTATCTAGTTCAATCCTCAATCCTGGGTTCTATCCGCGTTACCACGCGGTAATCAAGTTCAGAATAGATTATGTCCGATGTTTCGGAAGAGACAGCTGCAAATGAGCCACCGGCACAATCCTCGCAGATGCGGTGGGCGTTCATCGATGCTTCAAACAACAGCCGAAGCAATCTCACCCGAGTCAAACGCCATGTGATGCAAGAATATATGCGGCAAAAACGCGGTGGCGAGCCGCAGCCAGACAATGAGAATGGCGAATCTGTGAAGGAAAAAGAGGAATCACAGCCAAAGGTTCGCAGGCGACCGAGGAACAAGAGTGCGGGAAAGAGTACCACCGAGAAGGAGAAGAAGGACCCTGGCAAGGGCCGGAGGAGAAAGAGCCCGGACGCGTCTACAGATACACAAATGAAGGTTGTATCCATGCGCGAGGATTCCTTAGGGGAGGGTTCATCGACAGGAATTGGAGAGAGTCATGTCTCAGCAGCTGCAGGCCAGACGAACGCGGATACGATCGTCTCTGTTTCATCCTCCGACTTACCCAGATTCTATGCATCTGGTGACCAGAGCAGCAACTCCGAGTCTGACGGCCGGTCACCGTTGTCCTCTGCCCCAACAACTCCCTACGAGCTAACCCTCTCCCCCAAATCGATTCTCAGCGCAGCGCGAACTGACCCTTTCAACACTTTGCCTATGGATTTGGATGCGGAGGGTCGCAAACTCTTTGACTTTTACGTTAACGAGATGCCGGCTTGCTCTTATGGCAACCACTTCCGGTCCGCTAAGGCTCATAACTGGTATACGGCCGTATTTGTCCCCGAGGGCATGAAAGGCCCTGTCGCCTTCCAGAACACGATTCTCGTCCACGCGGCCAACACATGGGCCTGGGTCCGGAACGAGGAGGAAACGAAGATGACTCTGGTCCATCGTAACCGGGCCATCTCCATGCTCCGAGAGCATCTGGCTGCGAACCCCGGAGACATCAGCGACGTGGCCATCATTGCATGCCTCAGTGCAGCCGGTTTGGAGGACTTTGACCCCCGGCCCGGACGCAAGCAGATCAGCTGGATTCACATGCGAGCTGCTCGGGAGATGATTCGAGCGCGCGGTGGGCCTGCGGCGTTCGAGAACACCCGGCTGGGGATGTTGATCAACTGGCAGGACTATATTCTGTCGGGCTATGAAACCCATGGGCCGAGCTTTTTCTTTGAGCCCAATCCACCTATTCATTCACAACCTGATATTACCGAAACTTGCCTACCAACTTCCTCCTGTCTTTCCACCGATTTTGATGGCGTCCCTTCTACGGCCCCTCCCTTCTTCCCCAGAGATGAACTCCAGCACCAATGCAACGAATTCATCGAATTCCTCAAACGCTGCGAGCAACTCGCCCTCCACCAGCAAACACACACCAACCCGGCCATCGCACCCATGCGCCATACTGCCTTCCAACCCACCTCCCTTCTTTACCAAATTCTCGCCGCCCCGCCAGGCGTCCGATTCACCGCCTCAGGCAACCGCAAACAATTCGTCGCCCGCCTCGTCGCGCTGATCATGTTCAACGCCGGTCTATGGGACTATCGCTCATCCATCGCCCACAGCGAGACCTTCCTGCGCACGCTCGAGCAGGCCGTGCTCGAAAGCGAGGTCAACATGAGCGGCTCAGTCGAGGCCCTGCTGCAGATCATGCTGGAGTGCAACGACGGGATGGCCACACCCAGCACCAGTCCCGACCTCCCCTCTGTCTTCCTGCTGGATGAGCTCGAGCCTGCCGCGCCTGATTTCACGCAGTACTCGCCCACTGCTCGGACGCCGTACCGCCGGCCTTGGTTCGCCGGACGGATGCTCAAGGTCGCGAAGCGCCTGGGCTACGAGACGTGGATGCGCGTCAGTGACTTTCTGCTGGGGTGCTTGACGCTGCAGGTGTGGGAGGGCTCGGTTGCCGGGTGGGAGGGGTCCCTCCGGCAGGAGATCCTCAGTGCGCCGCTTACGAGTTATGTTATGCCTGCGTTGAGGTGATCATCCACGTCTCGTCCCAGTTTATAGATAAATAATTCACATTCGGGGTTTTGTACAAACAGGATACGGCATGTGACTACGGCGTCGTTGGTGATGTCTAAATATATTCTCTCTATTCAGTTATAATTTTTATCTTCAAACACTACACCTAATCTTTATATCCCCATTGTAAACTCCTTCCCCTGCGTAACCTGCAACGTAACATCCGCCTTGCCATCCTCCCGCGGATCCAACCCAAACGACCGGGCCCTACGACGCTGCTGAGCCCTGGTACCGGTAGTAAACACTTCGCCCACCTCCTCGAGGGACTTGCCCGCTGTCTCCGGGTAGCACGCCCAGACAATCAGCGCGGCCGCCCAGTTGAACGCAACAAAGCAGTAAAAGTACCTGTACTGCAACGTAGTCAGCGCAATGGGCGAGCACTGCGCGAAAAGGAGATTGAGGCTCCAGTTCGTGGCGGTCGCGATGGACGAACCGCGGGCGCGGATGGCCGTGGGGAAGATCTCGGCGGGGTACAGCCAGGAGATGAGGCCGAGAGAGGTAAAGAAGAGCGAGAAGACGAAGAACATGGCGATGGCGGCGCGGAGGGCTGCGGGAGAGGAAGGGACCGAGGAGTCCGCGTCCGGGGCGAAGTTGCCGTAGTAGCGGGCGAGGGTGGCTTCGACGCAGAGGGCGGCGCCCATGCCGAGGAGCGAGGGGATGAGGAGCTTGCGGCGGCCGACGCGGTCGATGAAGAGCAGGAACACGGTGTTCCAGAACTGGGCGAGGGCGCCCCAGATGCCGGTGATCATGAGCGTGGTGGAGGTGGGGAGGCCGAGCGAGCGGTAGATGCGTGGGCTGTAGACCTGGATGACATTTGTGCCGGAGCACTGGGTGAAGGCCTGGATGCCGCAGGCGAGGAGCACGCGGTGGCGCAAGGTGGGCGACGAGAGCAGCAGCTGGCGCCAAGAGGAGACGACGGTGCGGGAGTCGGAGGCGATGCTCTCGCAGATCTGGGTGAACTCGGACTCGACGAGGTCGGTGTTGGTGCGGGTGTGGTTGAGATGCAGCCGGCTGAGCACGGCTTTGCCGGCGTCCTTGTGGCCTTTTTCAATCAGCCATCGTGGCGACTCTGGGAGAAACCAGACCCCAGCGCCGAGGATGACGGCGGGGGCGGCTTGCATGGCTAGAGGGAACCGCCAGGAAAAAGCGCCCGTATGCAGAGAGCAGCCATATCCGACCCATTGCTACAGCAGTCAGCGATCAATTGTTCGGAAGATGATAGTCAGACGGACATACTGCGACGACCACACCCAGCCCAAGCATCCACTGCTGCATCGCACCAAGAAAGCCACGAATATGTGCGGGAGAAACCTCGCTCTGGGGTCAGTTAGCAGAAAGAGCATGTCGAGTGTGTAGGATGGTTGTTGGACAGCGCTCACACAGTAGATCGGAATCGTGGTCGACATCAGGCCAATGGAAAAGCCAGCTATCAAACGGCCAACAATCAACATGGCAATGTGCATAGCTCCAGCCTGGAGAGCAGCCCCCAGAGCGGCCAGGAGAGCGCCTACAAACATGACTGGGCGGCGGCCAAAGGGGTCGCAGATGTAGGGGACCGCTATGGACCCCAGAATGGCTCCTCCTGTGGCATGTTAGATCTAGAACTCATCCAAAAAGCAGTAACGGGGATGAAACACCATTATAGGAAGAGACAATGCCTCCAGTGGCTGCATCAGAAGGGTGATTGAAATGCTGCAGAAAGGCCTCTTGTTCGAGTGTTGACCCAATCACCCCCGAATCGTAGCCAAAGAGAAAGGATCCTAGAGTGGCCAAGATACAACAGAGAGTGACAAGTAAAAAGGTCATGGTAGATTAAACTGAACAGCAAATTTCAGAGATCATTGTCTGTTATGAACCATTCGAGTCGTTGAGATATTTCTTCCCCTTGTCTAGCTGGCTAGGGGGATTGTGTACAGTCTTTCGCTGGGGTCAGTCATAATCAAGACTGAGGGATCAGAAAGTATGTATAGTTGGCTCAAGTGGCGACTATTCAAAGTTTAATTCCTCTTGATTATGATTATGATTATGATTATGATTAGAATTAGAATTAGGATTAGGACTAGGATTATAAACCTTCTCTAAGCACAAGATAGTTCTTATAAGACAACAGAATAATAAGCAGCAGTTTGAGAGTCGGCATGACAGATACTGTATGGTATAGAGTACATTCTAGTGCATTCATACTAGGATTATTCATATCACATAGCGCCCTATCGGCATGCTTTCTATTGTTACTTAGGAGAATAGAACAGCTCTCTTATTAATAATCCTTAGAGAGGTAACTAGTTAGTTAACGTAACTACCTACAGTAAGTCAGCAGACTCAGTATGTATCCGCAGAGTAGTGGGTGATTTAGACCCGTCTCTAGATCTCTGGAACAGTGGACCCTCCAGTCTTTCTGTTCACGGCTTCTAGCTTATCAGATTCTCTAAAGGCGTCACAGATTTTTCTCTCTCAGAAGATTCGGTATCTCGTTTCATCGCAATTTATCTACCGAGGCTTCTTCGAACATTCGATGCTTACACTACTGGTCTTAGCCAAAACCTTTGGTGTCTTGTCCGTGAGATCAGCCCTGTTACGTCGCTGATCAGGGAGATAATCATCCAAATCCATCTCACTCTGTCGTTCTCACTTCCGTCTCGTCATCTATCGCTCTCATTCTTCTTTTCTCTAGACTGGTTCTGGCCCAATCACTTCATCCCAGTCTTGAAATTCCCTGGTTGATCCAGTTTGTGCGCCCAAAGGTGCGTGAATACTTTTCCGACCCTTGTCCCAGTACCTTCGATCTATCTACAGCTCTATACTGCGCAAAATACTTGTTGAGTTCCGGCATTGCCGTATTCTCTATCCAACATCATCCCTGTTGGTTTGTCATCTCTTATGCTCATCCTTTTTGCGCCATTTTCCATGCTCTATTGAAAGCGGAAGCACTAACCAACCACGGAAACATAAGCAGTCAGAAGGGAAAAAAAGACCACAAGTGGGACGCCGACTAAACTTGGGGATCGCCGTCTTTTATTCGACTATTATTGTAGCATTTTTACGGTCCTGAGTGTCTCTTGGGCATCCATAATCCTGCCGTTTCTTTTCCTATCACTCAGGCCGAGTGTGTCGCCCTTCTTTGTTGATTTTGACTCATCCCTCTTCCGTCGGACTACTTACTGTTCGGTCGGAATTAAGGCCTGTCTGGCTCCTGTCGCCGGGAATACGACGACCCTTAAGGGTGTGGAATCCCAGTATCTTAAGAACAAAGTTCCATTGTGGACTCTTTATTGGCTTTAGCCGCAGAGATTACTTCATCCCTCTTCGCCTTTTCCCTCTCTCACACTCAGACACACTCCTCCGTGTGCCTTCCATGACTCTTGTGGTAATCCTCCGATCTGCCCCTCGTGTGCGATAGGTCTTGCATCGCCACGCGGGCTGTTACTGCATTCCTCTTCCAAATCTATCTGATTCTCCCCCTTGCATGAACCTTTGCGCCAAACGTCATCGTCGAGAATGGCCGCCAATTCCAGTCCGTTCGCCGGCGCCCCCGCCGAGACCTCTAACGAGGACGATCCCGCATCCGCATCAGATACACAGTTTTACAAGTATGACGACTCGAATTCATCCGCTCTTCCTGGTCATCCTCACGATGTCGCTTCCGGTCATGGCCATCTTTCAGATTCGAAACCGAAGGAGCCTCTTCCCATGCAGAAGCGGCGCCGGGTGACTCGCGCCTGCGATGAATGTCGTCGCAAGAAAATTAAGTGCGATGGGAAACAGCCGTGTACCCATTGCACAGTCTATAGCTATGGTAATTTGGCCTTCTGATCTATGTATGCATCTTCAGATTTTCTGACCTGGATACTGCACCAGAATGTACATATGATCAACCCTCGAACCGGCGACGAAACCCTGCTCCGCAATATGTCGAGGCACTCGAGAATCGTTTGCATAAAGCCGAAGCCCTTCTCCGCGTGGTTCTGCCCGACCTGAACCTGGACGATCCTCAGTTTGACGTACATGCGACCGAGCAGATGCTCGGCGCCATCAAGAAGGAGAAACCGCAGCCGCCAATGCCAACCGCAAGCGCCCCTAAAACGTCGACCGCTCCCGAGCCAACAACGGACGCAGCGGACGGTGGTGCCGGTGACGAGTCGCTGTTGGAGTCTATGGTTGAGAATTCAGGATGCCTGGACTTGGATGACCAGGGTCATTGGGATTATCATGGACATACCTCCGGTATCATCTTCCTGCGACGATTGCGCAAGCAACTTGGGGCTTCAGACATGCCGGTCCCGTCGTTCCGAACACGGGCCCTCTCTCAGATGTTGGATAGTCCCAAGTCGACGTCCGAGTCTCCGTCGGATTCCTCGCTACCCCCCACTCACGATCTGCCCTCCCGGGATGTTGCACAGCGTCTGTGCCACCACGCTTTATACGAGGGCTGTTCTCTTATGCGGTTCGTGCATGAGCCCAGCTTCTTTGCCATGCTAGATCGAATATATGATACCCCTCCGGAGCAGTTTGGAAACGAAGAGAATTCGTTCTTGCCGCTTCTGTACATTGTCATGTCTGTTGGTTGCTTGTTCTCAGATGACGGGGCTGGTACCCTGGATATTGCAGGTTATGAAGGCGCTATTGGTCAAGGGTAAGTTGGGTTTAAAAAGTCACTTATCGACCTCAACTGATTTTCGGCGTTACAGATTTCAATATTTCAAGGCTGGCCGGCAACTCCTGGACATCACCGATTGCCGTGATTTGACCTCGTTACAAGCGGTTTGTTTCATGGTCCTGTTCTTACAATCCTCCGCCAAACTAAGTACGTGCTATTCGTATGTGGGGATAGCGCTCCGGTCGGCTCTGCGCTTGGGCCTGCATCGCTCTGTAGCCGCCGACTTCAACCCCATCGAGCGAGAGTTGCGGAAACGCATTTTCTGGGTCGTACGGAAGATGGACGTCTACGTGAGCACCCTGCTGGGGCTGCCCCAGATGTTGAGCGATGACGACATCGATCAGGAGTACCCTGTGGATGTTGATGGGCAGTTTATCACCAAGGATGGTATTTTGCCTATGCCGTCGGATTATACGCCCTTGATGGCAGGGGCCAACGCCCACACTCGGCTGTCCAATATCATTCTTAAGGTGGTAAAGTACATATATCCGGTGAAGAATGCTCTGCATCCGTCCAAGTCGGATATGCGCTACATGGTGAGTCATTCCAAGATTCGCGAAATCGAGCGCGACTTGCAGACCTGGATGGAGGAACTGCCTGCGGCTCTCCGTCCAGGAACGGAGGTATCTCCCCAGTTAGAACGGTAAGCACCTCTTTTTCTATTGCGTCTACTGTCTGGGACTAATGCGTTCACAGTATCCGACAACTGTTGCGCATCAGCTATGCTCACGTGCAAGTTGTCATGTATCGTCCCTTCTTGCATTATGTGTCTAGCGGGTCACAAGCTCGAGGTGTGGACCGACGGTCATACGCTTGCGCCGCTGCATGCGTGAGCGTCTCACGAAATATTGTCCATATTACGACTGGCATGCACAAGCGAGGGTTGCTCAATGGGTCCTTCTGGTTTACCATGTACACGACCTATTTCGCCATCTTGTCGTTGATCTTCTTTGTGCTCGAGAATCCCGACTCGCCGACGGCTAAGGACGGTGTTTTGAAAGACGCCATGGAGGGCAAGAACACTCTGGCCGGACTGGCGAAGAAGAGTTTGGCGGCAGACCGCTGCTCGCAGAGTCTTAATTCTCTATTCAAGAACCTCCCTGAGCTCTTGAAAAACCGCCAGAGCTCGGTGAAGCCTGTCAATCTCAAGCGTCCAGCGCCGGCTGCTGTCTCTCGGCCTGCTGCAAATGTGAAGAGTCAGCAATCTGCGCCCGAGATAGCGCCTCCGCAGAGAGCTAGTACGTTCCCGCTGCAGCTACTGAGCCGACAGTCCAAGGCCGAGGCGAGCAATACACCGAAGAGCTTGGACGATAGCCATAATTTTGGCAGTGGTAAGATGTATCAGAGCCAAGTCAATACCCAAGTCAGTACCCCAACTTGGGTTCCGTCAACCCCGGAACCCCCTACCGACACCACCACGACGACGCCCGAATCCCTTATTGCCGATCAAGCTCGCGTAACGACTACGGCATCTCCAATGCCGGGGATGCATTCGCGAGAGCCCTCGTCGGGGCAATTCTCAGCACAGCAGTTGGCCAATACCGGAAATTTGCCGGACCTCATGCCTATCATGTTCCCTTCCGACGATCCCTTTGCTTATCCCACTCAACCAATGTCCACATTGGAAGATGACCATTTCCGCGTCGACGGACTGGGCCTACAGTCAGCGAACCAGTTCGCATTCGACCCGTCATCGCAGGGGTTACCGTCGTCGACCTCGAATGATTCAGCAATGGGCGCGGTGTCCACTCCGACGTTTGACAACTTTGGCACTTTCCCGCTTTTCAATAATGGAACTTCAGCCGGCATCAATGCCACACTCCCGCATCGTGTCGCACCGCAGAAGCAGCAGGCCATGAGCCAAGCGCGGCTTCAGTCACCCGTGTCGCATAGCTCGACTCCCGGCAGCGGCACTGAGGCGGTCAACAGTCCCGACCTGGTGTCGATCCCCAACCAGAACTTCATGTGGCAAGGGTACAACTTCCAGCCACAGGCAATTCCCCCGGATTCGTCAGGGCCGCAGCAGGTACCGACGACAACTGAATCGCAGGGATTTAGCATGGGAATGAACGAGAATAATGAAATGGGAGCGGGCATTGACATGGGTTTTCTCCCTCTGGACGATATCTTCGGCGATCCATGCCGACCAAACACACTCGCCAACGACGACTGGATTCAGTGGATGAATGTGGGAAGTTGAAGAATCGTGCAGCATATGATACGGGCTAAAAAATTCAGTTTTGTTCTACGAGATAATGAGAAACTAGTGTACGGTCATGTCATGTGTTTGGCGTTCAGGACTGGTATATACGGAGTGCCCTTTGTCTATAGGTTAGTACGGGTAGTTTAATGTCAATTGCACATATTCTATTCAATCTGATATACAATCTATCTGGCTTTGATCTAGTTTACTAGTCTACAGTATATACACTCTATTAATTGAATCAACTCCTCCGCGGCGGCTGGTACCAACTCCAAATATTCAAACCAACCTTCGTCCCCGACGTGACGGGCAGCGCCGCATGCCATGTCTCGGGATACCCCGTCCCATCGGGCCTCAGATTCTCCCAGAAAATCGCATTCCCCTTGATAGGTTTGAACGTGATGCCTTCCCCCGTCCCTCTGGCCCTCGCCTTTCTTTTCGGCGCTTTGTCCTTGTCCCCGTCTCCCACCTCCAGGGTCTCTTCATCTTCATGACACTCCAAAAACCGACACCACCGCCTATCAACCGGCATACGCAAGCGCGGGAAATTCGTCCCCCCGCCGGTACAGTTATCATCCAGATAAACCATGAACGTGCTGGCGCGGTCGCCGCCGCGCGCGACGGAGCCCGCCCAGTCATAGTGGTGCCTGTAGTGGCCGGAGGCGTTGTAGCGCTGGGCCCACATGCGCTCGATGTACAGGTGTGGACGCCACCCCTGGAAGGCGCGCGCGCGGTCCTCGATACACCGGACGGTGGGGTCGCGGTCGAGCAGGGCGCGGTCGGAGAGCCGCGTGGAGGGGTCGACGCGCTCGGTGATGCCGTTGTAGATTATACTGGGGGTGTATTTTCCTACGCTTTTGGTAAGCGTTAGTGAGGCTCGTGTGGAACTGTGGATAGAAGGCGAAAGGTACCTGATGTCGACGAGGTGGTCTGCTTCCGGGGTGGTGAGGAAGCCTTCGATGTAGATGACTAGGGGGGTGCGGGAGAGGAAGTGGATGCGGTAGGTTGGGTCGAGGGGGCAGTCGGGGGTGATGCCGTCGTCGATGCTGATGAAGGTGTCGTCGAGGAGGTTGAGGGCTTGGGAGGGGGCGAGGTCGTCTGCGTCTTGGTCGTTTGCGCCGTTGGGGAAGAGGTAGTCGGCGGTGGATGGGCTGAGGGGGGATTCTTCTTCTGGGAAGAATTGGCGGAGGAGGGGGGCGAAGACGAAGAGGTAGAGAGGGAGGAGGTAGAAGAGGGAGGAGAGGATGGTAGAGAGTTTAATTGACATGGTATATGTACAATTGTGAAGATATACAGGTCTATGTGCTGATGTAGGAAAAGACTGATAATAAGAAACAAAGTAAAGGCTGATCAACCCATTGATAATAAAAAGTCTGATTATACGTCAGAAATCCAAAAAGTGCGGACTTGAGGTCTTTCAGTCCGATTTTGATGGACAATTGACTGGCATCGTCGCGTGTATGAGAGTTGAATCTGACAGCTGGTGATGTACGGAGCATTGGAAAAGGGACTGTAAACTGTGGTGGATCCAATCGTCCTCTTTCACCGCTCTGCTGGATATTCTATATTCATCATGCTCGAGTATACAAGTCCTCTGTTTGAAATCAGTGTACCGCTGGACAAAAGAAGGACATCAGAGGCTCTGACCCAAGGCTCACAGCAGATAAGTGATGTGTAATCGAACAATTGAAGGATTCCTGTACAGCTTCATGCATGGTCTAGTGCTAATGACACGATTCCTTGTGTCTGACTTAAGTCATACTGTCTGTCTAACTACCTTAGAGATCTGTATGTTTCTTGGGAGTGAGAAGAAAATATGTTGTTGCCTGGGATCAGCGATAAATTGATGTTATTAATAGGCTGTTGCATTGAGGCTCGTTACGACTGCCTCACCTTCCTTCGGAGGGCAAAGGTCTCGACTCAATAAGTCTTGACATGCACACAACACACCACACCACAATTTAGGCATGATGGCAGGGTAGACATACCATGTGATCAGGCTTGTCCAATACCTAATCAACTACTCGTAGTCACCGTAGACAGATAGATGCTAGTGATTTTCGCTCGACCAAAACTGAATCAGAAGTACTCACTTGGTAGTTGAGCATGTGGCCATATCCTCGACGCATCTGTACAGTATATTACTGCTAGTCTTACCTAGAGTAGACTAGGTCTAGGATTATATTGAGGTAGCATTACGAGCAGGATTGATTTGCTGTCAATAATAACATGCCAAGTTCTCAGTAGTATCTTACCCCGGATAAGACCGGGGGCTGTCTCGGACGTTCCCCAATTTGGTGCTCACGACGAAGACCCGACACCGGTGACTTGAATGGTGGATTAATCCAAACTAATCATGGAGATAACCACTGTCGGCGTCTCTGCAGTTTTACATGTGTCAGAGGATGAATAAGGTCTCAGAAAGGGTTTGATGATGAATAATCCGTAAACTGGCCACCTCAACTTCCAAGTCCCAAGACTCCCCATCCACGGGGCGGGAGACGAGTTGCCAAGAGAGTGGCCGTGGTTCTGTGGTGCAACTGGGAGAGGAACTCTTGGAGTCTTGGTCTTCCTGTCGGTTTGTCAAGAATGGGTAATAAATTTCCATCGCGACTCGCTTGCATTATTATTAACTTTGGAGTGCTAGGTCATTATGATAACCAATAATATGGACATCTTACCTTTGAGAATTATTATTGCTCCTTCGAGTCTAGCAAGGATGCGGGGTTTTTTGGAGGTAGACGGAAGCGTGTAATTTATCGGTAACACCTGGTATGGTTTTGTTCTGACGATGCCTTAGTGCCAGTGAGTTGCTCGGATCGGATTATTTGCTTCATCCGGCAAGCGACCTTTGTTCAGTGTTGTGGGATCTTTCTTCTGTAGATATTTCTTCTTCCTAGACACGACAAGTTCCATGAGATCATGCTCAAACTGGGCTGTGATTTTTGCTCACAAAATATCTGCATTATGACGGAATCACACAACTCCTCCAATCTATCCTCCAGGTCACGGAGAAACTCAATACAAGAGCCAAACAGGCGTGGACGGAGCAGTACCACTGGCTGTTACCAATCGGGTGCACTGTACCCTGTAACTTGCCTAACCTAAGCGATCAGCACAGCCCACCCGCAATTTTCGCCTCAGCCAGTCATACGTCGTGGCTCGACGCCACTCAGGCTTGGGCCCGCATGGCTCTTGGCCCGGTCTTGTCCCTGTCTTGGGTTGTCCCTCCGCCCGGCTGTGCAATGCGCTTTTTTCTCGGCTTCTGGGCTTCTGGGCATCGTACTTCTCCTGCTCTCCTAGGTACTGAGTCTACTCCCGTACGACTTTCTGGGCTGTTATTTCCCCCCCCCCCCCCCCCCTCCTTTTCCCACAATTGTTGTCCTTTTTACCTTGCGTCCGGCCCCAGGACAAGAACCCAAGCATTCCCCCCTCTCCCTCCTCTTCCTTTCTTCCAAGACTTTCCTCTCTTCTATCCGTCCATTAACCCCCCTCCCTCCTCCATCTTTATCCTCTTTTCTCCCTTTCTTCTTATCTTACTCACTTCGTTGAAAGCTCTTGTTTACGTGTGCCGTGTGTACACGACTTTACAGCTTCTTTTGCGTTGTCTTTTCGCGGCGATTCACCGAGTCTTGCCGATCATTTTCTGGCAGTCGACGTCCGTTGCTCCTCCGACAAATTGATTCTCTGACTCATTTTAACCCTTCTACTTTTCTCCCTTTCTCTCCTTGTGTTGGGAAACACGATTCATCGCAGTTAACTTGCGTTGATATCCTCCCTTCATTCTCCGCTGCTCCCAAGAAAAGGGACAAGAAATCAGTCTTGGCACAATGTCTGAACACCAAGATACCGCAACCAACAACAACACAACTGCTTCGCCTTCGGCAACGGCAGCTCCTATGCCTGCACCCATCTCGCAGGAGCAGCCTTCGTCGCAGCCTGCAGCTACAACCCCAGCTCCTGTGTCTACTTCGACCCCTCCAGCTTCCGTGACTGCGACCGCGGCTGCTGCGACCGCGGCCGTTAGTGCTCCCCAAATGAACGGAACTCCTCCAAGTGATGAACAACTTTCCTGCTTGTGGCAGGGTTGCTCTGAGAAATGTCCTTCTCCAGAGGCACTTTATGTAAGTCTTTGTCATTAATTCATACTTTTCATCTCTTCAGTCGCCTCATCCTCGGCAAAAACACCCTCAACCGGACAACACAAACACCTGGGCTACCTGAACAAGACTGACAGAACCAGGATCACATCTGCGAGCGTCACGTCGGTCGAAAGAGCACAAATAACCTCAACCTGACATGCCAGTGGGGAAGCTGCCGCACCACAACTGTTAAGCGTGACCATATCACGTCTCACATCCGTGTCCACGTTCCTCTGAAGCCTCATAAATGTGAATTCTGTGGAAAAGCATTCAAGCGTCCCCAGGATCTCAAGAAACACGTGAAGACCCATGCCGATGACTCGGTGCTTGTGCGGTCGCCCGAGCCGGGAGCCAGAAATCCGGATATGATGTTTCATGGAGCTGGAAAAGGTAATGACGAATGCCGATTTTCTCTTTGCAATCTCGGAACTGACATGATCCTTCTTGACCAGGCTATGCTGCTGCCGCCCATTATTTCGAGCCATCTTTGAATGCAGTGCCCAGCCAAGGATACGCCCACGGTGCTCCACAATACTATTCGTCTCATCCCCCACACCAGCCGTCCAATCCTTCTTACGGAAACGTATACTATGCTCTCAACCACGGTCACGACGGCCATGCTTCGTATGAATCCAAGAAGAGGGGCTACGACGCTCTGAACGAGTTCTTTGGCGATTTGAAACGCCGTCAGTTCGATCTTCACTCTTACGCAGCGGTTGGCCAGCGCCTTCTTGGTCTTCAGAATCTGTCTCTCCCTATCCTGACCGGTGGCCCTATGCCTGAATACCAGCCCATGCCAGCGCCGGTGGCCGTGGGTGGTGGCTACGGCCCTGGTGGACACGGTGCTCCTGTCTACCATCTCCCCCCAATGAGCAACATCCGCACGAAGAACGACCTGATCAACATCGATCAATTCTTGCAGCAGATGCAGGATACCATCTACGAGAATGACGATCATGTTGCTGCTGCTGGTGTTGCACAGCCTGGAGCCCATTACGTTCATGGCGGCATGAGCTACCGCACTACACACTCTCCCCCCACGCAGCTTCCTCCAAGCCACACTTTGGCCACCACCTCTGCTAGCTCTTCCATGAGCAACCCTGCCACGCACTCGCCTCCCACTGGCACGCCTGCTTTAACCCCTCCATCCAGCGCCCAGTCGTACACCTCTGGTCGTTCTCCAATCTCCATTTCCTCCGCTCATCGTGTTTCGCCGCCTCACCATGATGGTGGCTCGAGCATGTACCCCAGACTTCCATCAGCCACGATGGCCGACAGTCTGGCGGGTGGCTACCCCACTGCATCGAGTGCTGCTCCTCCTTCTACCCTCAGCGGCATCTTTGATGATGATCGTCGCCGGTACACTGGAGGCACTTTGCAACGTGCTCGTCCCGAAGAGCGTCGTCTGTCCATCCAGATGGACACCTCTCACGACGGCAAGGAGGACGGCGAACGCACGCCTACCGGCAAAGCCCGTTCGTCGGGTTCCGATTCCCCAGTGCGCATTTCGGCTAACCTTATTGATCCTGCACTGCACTCGAGCAGCCCGTCTGAGGCCGAGGCGGCTCTGCGCACCGCTCAGGCAGCTACGGAGGTGGCCGAGCGTGCCGACTCGCAGTGGGTGGAGAAGGTTCGCCTCCTGGAGTATCTGCGTAGCTACATTGCATCCCGTCTGGAAAGGGGTGAGTATGACTCCGACTCCGATGGCCATGCTTCGGCCGCCGCTTCTCCGGATACCAAGCACGATGGACACATGGACGGTGTGGAAACGAGTCATACACCCATCACTACTGAAGCGCCTTCTGCGCCTCCCGCAGCCAAGGCTGAGTCTAACCACGGTGTGATGTATCCCACACTTCATGGATTGGATGGCGATGAAGATACCAAGATGCACCATTAAATCGTGGGTTATTTGTCGTCGTCACCGGATTCCCCTGTCTTTAAGGTTTCCTTTTTTCTTTGCCAATGTCGATCCAGCCTTTTCATTTCCCTGTCTACGGAGTTGACCGGGTGTGGACTTTCCTATCGTTTCTGTCTTTTTCTTAATTCTCGGACTGGGCTAGTTCGTCTCGTGTGTGACTACCATATTTCATTTCTCTAACTGTTCCTCTCTCTTGCCGGCTGGGACTCTTCTTTGTGCTGTGTATGAAATGTCATTTCCAGAACATAACTCAATGGACTTGTGTTTATTGACGTAACAGTGTACTCGGTAAGGTAGCATGTAGTCGATTGGCCTGTTCGTCTGGCTCTCAATGGTCAACAACCGTTTTCAGCTCTTTGTTTGCTTGCATGGACGACACTTTGCCAGAGGACAAAGACTCAGTGCTGTATATGGAATCTCCACTGCGGACGCTGGTGGTAGGAGTGCAAAACAAGGCAACATTGAGGGAGTTGGCTCAAAGTAGGATAATGAAGATACTGATTTGCAACCAGTGTAACCATGGGGAAGATGCTACAGTGTCAATTACTGGTCCTGCTACTGACTACCGATCCTCCTGAGGTCATAGTTCACTCCTTCACATTGCACGAGGCGACGCTCCCCCACGGGCCACGCTAAGCCACATCCGGACTGAGTGACGCAAACAGTCGATAGTGCGCAGGTACCTTACCTCAGTTAATGTCAGGGACTGAACTAACTAGGCTGATCTGGGAGATGGAAAATAAGCATACCATAAGGAAGTATACTACTTTGACAGAAACGGACAATTGATGGCTCTCACTGGCTTCTTGTTCCTCGTGTGTTTACAAATTGTAAGTAATGATGGTTTCTCCGGAACGTTCCAGGCTTCGATTGCGCTTGGCCTTTGCCTGATCCGGTAATGTTCCATTGGATTGATTTCCCAGTCTACTCAGAGTAATCTCTGGTGAACTGTCGACGATAGGCGATCATGTTGACGACCAGGTTGATTCATTTTGATTCTTTGCTTTGTTCAGTAAAGTCGGCACTCATGAGATGATGAGGGTTGTCTGTTTGTGATTCGATGTGATTATCGATAAGTGGGTGATCAGCATGAGCACGAGGGATGTCTTGCTGATAATCGGTACGGTTAATACCTTATTTCACTAACTTGAGTAGTTCGTCTCTTCGTCAACTCTTCCTACAGCCAACTGGATGTTCGAGGGTGGTCTTCGGCTTGTCTGGATAGATTGGGATAGATTTTCTCTCAAACAAGCAACAAACAGGACATTGACTTTCCATGTTTCCTCCATTCCTTCGTCGTGCTCCACCCTCGCTTCTGTTTACGGCGGCTGGGGAGGATCCATTGATGGGGCATGGTAGTATTGACTGGATGCGAGTAGTATCTTTAAAACTGGAGGAATCCTTCGGTATCAAAATATTTTGATCTCTATCTACTTGTTCTACAGGATCAACAAGTTCATCCTATGTTTGTATCTAGGTGAATCATGATATAGTTGAAATTCTTTTTCCCCACGCGGAAGAGGTCACGCCCCAAACACCATCGGCGCGTTATCGTCACTGCGCCATCAACCACGAGTAACATCATCATCAATCTCATCATCATCACCACCCTCATCTTTTTTCCATCCTCTATCCTCCTACGCCTTTCTTTTCATGGCCCTAACATTGGACACAAACCCTTGTCTAATCAAACCCCCTTTTTGTCCAACTTCAACCTATCCTTTCAAGGCAATAATAAGCCTTACTTAACGCACGTCTATATTTTTTTTTTACCTCCGACTAAGTGGCTGGCTTCCCACCCCTCCCACCAGCCACTCACAGATCGCGTCGCTTTCTCTGCGCGGTGGCAAACCCGTCATCAGTTCCTTGGGTTCTTTTCCTCTCACGCAGTTCATCCGAGTTTGCGACGAACACAGGGATTTTCCCGGCTTAGGTTTTTCCCTTCTGTTCGTTTGGTCGCCTCTCTGTTTTTGCTTCTCTGCTTCCGTCTATCCGACTCTGCTTTCGTCCTTCCCAAACTGCATCATACGCCGTTGCTAGAGATCATCGAAAACAAAGTACGCCTATTTCTCGTGGTTGATAGTCGGTCAACCTTGTGAAACGTATTTGTTTACATCGGCTTAGTCTACAACACCACAACAAATCAACAAACAATATCGAGAAGAAATGCCTCTATCGAATCGGCGCCGCGCGCGGCGCAAGGAAATACAACTGCAGGAAACGTCAGACGCGGAGGCTCCGGACTCGTCGCCATCTCGGCCTTCGAATAAGAAGCGCAAGGTCAGTGACCCGTTAGGCTCTTTTTTTGCGATCGGGATGAGTTTGTTTGCTGACTCTGGTCCCACAGGTTGATCACCATCCTTCCCCTCCTTCCCGTCCCGCCAAAGCGCAAGAATCCGCCGATGAGGCCGACGACTCGTCCCCTGAAAATGAACTGTCCGCCAACCAGGACCTGGTGGACTTGGTCATATCCTGTCTGAATGTCGCCCGGGAAGAAGTGCGCGTGGCACGGGACCACTCGAACAAGAAGACGGAGAACACGCAGAGTATCCGCGCATATGCGAAAATCGCCGGCCGCAACTGGACCTATTACGTCAAAACACTGCATGTCAATATTGGACGCGAACCGGATCGCGAACCGAAGCTGGATGAGCAGTCCAGTCCCGTTACGATCGCTGCAAGGGCCCTCCCCGACGTCCATGTTGACCTGGGTCCGAGCAAGTTTGTCTCTCGTTTGCACGCGGAGATTTTCTATGACGGCGGGGAGACCCCTTCCTGGCACATCCGCGTCAATGGACGCAATGGGGTTCGGCTGAACAACGTCATCCTGAAGCGCGGGACCGATGCGATTATCTCCTGCGGCGACATCATCGAGATCGCCAACACCCAGATGATGTTCGTCACGCCTGGAGACAAGGCCAATATCCACCCCAGTTTCGTGGCGCGCGCGCAGCGCATCGCCAATGGTGAAGAAGAATTGTTGTCGTGGGATCCCACCCAGCACTCGCATCCCCAGCCGTCGCAGTCGAGCGCGGTGATGAACGACCAGACCTCAGCGACCGCTTCAGCCGGCGCCAGCGGTCAGCCATCGCTTGCCCCCGCTCCGCAGTTCCTCAAACGCCAGGTGACTCCCCCGCCGCGCTCGCCAGACACCGTCGGTCCGCGCACTGCCAAACAGTCGCCGCTCTATAACCGCGGGATGATGATGGAAAGTACGGAGGAGATTGACTACAGCAAGGACTCGGCGAAGGATCTGAAACCGCCATATAGCTACGCCACTCTGATTGCGCAGGCGATCTTCTCCAGCGAGGAGGAGAAGCTTACTCTGAACAGCATCTACAATTGGATCATGGACAAATACGCCTTTTACCGGCATTCTCAGAGCGGATGGCAGGTAGGTCGTCTTCATTGTTCTTTTCACCGTCGCTGCCCGCAACTGACAACTGACAAACTTCAGAACTCCATCCGTCACAATCTATCGCTGAACAAGGCGTTCCAAAAAGTCCCTCGGCGTACAGACGAGCCAGGAAAGGGAATGAAGTGGCAGATTGCCGCGGAGTACCGCGAAGAATACTGGAAGAAGCAGCTCCGAAAGGGAACTACTCAATCTTCCGCCCCGTCGTCGCCTGCCACGAAAGAGCCGGTGTCGCGGAGTGCTAACAACCGCTCCGAAAACGTCTTCAATGGCAAGAAATCGCCGGCAGTGTCCTCCCCAGGATTTAGCTCGTTCCCCGTAGCACCCGTGGAGGCCTACACGCCCGAACGGGGCTCGCGGGTCGCTCGTGGTGTCGACCATCCTCTGCGCAACACCAATGCTCGGGATTACGAGGAGCCTTCCCCGTTGCCTACACGTTCTGCCACCAAGAATCACGGGGCCGGCAGCGCATTGACTCGTGCCTATGGACTCTCTGACAATGTGGTGAACTCGCCGCCCGTTCTCTCGTCATCGTACTACGACGATGGTCCGTCGTCGATGATTACGCCGGCCCCGCAACGGCAGCAGCCTCGACTTCCGCCTCCTAGCACAGCCCAAGTCCCGTCCAAGTTCATGCCGATGAGCTCGCCCGCGCAATTCTGGAAATTCGCGGACATTGGTAGCACACCAGCGCGACCGGTGCCCGACATGAGTCCGCTCAAGGGCGAAGTCGGGGATGGCATCGGTAATTTCCCAAGCAGTAGTCCGCCACCGCCGAACCTGGTCAGTCCCAGTAAGCCGGGGACATCGAACGGTCTCGGACACGGACGGACGCTTCCACCGCTGCGAACCGACCCGGGAGATCTCGGGGAAGCAAGGCCAGGAGTCAACGGGACGGTCAAGTCGGAGCGACCGATGGCGCCGGCGGGGCCGGATGCGGATGACGATGACGAAGAAGGAGGATTTGATCTCGCCAGGTTTGTTCCCCTGCTTTTGATTTGATGAATGGCCGGTGCTGATGGTGTCTATACAGAGGTTTCCAGCCGATTGGATCATATCATCGGCAACTGAGCAATGCCGCTCGCGCGAGTGCAGCGACCTCTTGATCCGCTCGCTAATGCATGACTATGTATTCTATGTACACCTATACCGATTGTATTCGACTAAGATTTGCTGGTTCAAAAGTCTGACATGTTGCAAACTGATACATTTGCTGTGTGTTCGTTTTCTGCTTTGCTTTCTTCCGCGTCGGGCTCTGGCAGCACATCCGGCCGTCCGGAGTCTTTCTTTATATGTCCACGGGATAGAAGCCTGGGGTTTGCAGAGGGATGGATTGATGCATTTACAACAGGAACGAAAGGACTGGCGTTGGGTTGCTTGCTTGCTTGCTTGCTATGTCATGTATGGAGTACTGGGGGGTTCTGGTCTCTGGACGACGCGATGATTAGGACGAACTGTAATGATATTTGCTTTTATCTTTTTTCAATTATCCCTACAGACCCGAACCTAGTCTACCTTGACAACCGGCCAGAATCTCTCCTCCAACCACACCACCTGCCGCCACCACTGCACACAGCGACCCATCAGATTCTCACGCTCCTCGGCCCCCTTGATCTGCCCAGCCAGCTCATCCACCACATCCCCAATGCGCCGCACAAACGCCTCAAACTCGGGACTGGTCCAGTTCGGTATGAACCGCGTCCGCAGCGCACCCCCATCGGCGTCCTGCTCCGGGCCCGCCGTCGATTTCCTCGACGCCCCACACGACGCCGCAAACCGCCACGCTTGCAGATAACACGCCTCCGTCGCCCACAGCACAACCATCCCCTCCAGCAGGCTCGTCGCCGCACTCCCCGCCGACATAAACATATCGATATACGCCTGCGTGATCCGATTCGGACCAAAGTACGACTCCTCGGCCTTATGCTCGCCGCGCACGCACTCGCCCCGCTCCCGCTCCTCGTCTTCCATGGCGACCGGCAACGCTGTCAAATCCAGCCCGTACTCATCCGCCGTGTCCTCGAAGAACTGCAGCTCCGTGCGGATATTCACCAGCGCGTCGATGAGGACCTCCATGGCGCGGTGCTCCGCCGTCGAGGTGCGAGGCTTCGAGCTGTCCGGATTATGCGGTGGGAGGCGGATCTTGGACAGTAGCAGGCCGATGAAGCGGATGTAGGACTGTGCGTAGAGACGGTCTTGGGAGAGCCATTGCGAGAGAAGCGGTTTGGGGATCTGCCCGCGGCCGGCTTGTTGGAGGAAGGGGTGGGTGGTTGCGTTGGAGAGGGGGCAGGTGGAGATGTTGAGGAGGTGGACTGTTAGTGGGGTGGTCATTTTTTCTTGTTGGCTTGTCTTCTTGTCGATAGGAAGTAAGGTGTTGAGGTTGATGGAATTCGGGTTTTGTGGGTGTTTTTGGTTTGAGGGGTCAGGAGGGGCAAATGGGTGGGCTGGAGCTTATCATTATCATTATCAGTATCAGTATCATTATTATTATCAGTTTGACGTCAGTCGGCAGTCGGCAACTATCCTAGTAAGTCAACTAGTCAGGAACAATGCAGACAATGCATCTTAATAACAATATCTATATGAATAAGCTTAATGCTAGACAGTACAGAGAAAAGCTATGGACCTTCTTAGTGGACGAGATGGTGTCTAAAGTTGTCGAGTTGTCAAGGCTGATCTATAGGGTTGACGATTGTACACGTCATGTTATGCATGACTCTTTCCAGTAAGAGGTAGGGTCCAGCTTGATAATTGCTAGTATGTCTCTGTTTCTACTCGTATAACATCGGTAACTAATAGAAACTGTGACATAGGGTCATTGCGCTGATAGCAACGACGGTACAAGGGGCACAATAACATAATCATGACTGCATAGAGCAGAGATTACCTGGCCAGCAGGAATCTATTCCACCGTTGAAGCAGCAACGCTAGCCTCGCCTGTATCACGACAGATCATGCGAACCAGCGCTTCAAGCGTATAGCGAGCATCGTTCCCAGCATTGTGCAGGTTCCATCCGATGATTCCCAGTTCGCCGAGAATGCTGGCCAGCGAGCGCTGGTTTAACTCACTTCGGATAATACGGTACAATTCGGCAGTGTCGATGCGCTCCACGAAGGCGGTCGTGACATCTTCAAAGACCGGGATGCCCAGACCCGCCAGATACTTGACGTCCATTGAGGTGTTATGACCCACGAGGATCAGGTTGCGTTTCTGGTGCATGTGCTCTGGGCCACTGTCGAGCTGGACACCGTCTGTGTCTTCCATACCGAATGAGTAGGGAGGTTGGAAGCAGGCCTGAACCACATCGGCCAGCTTCCCTTTGGACACCCATTCGCTCTCCCCAAATTCAAAACTTCCCGGGCATCCTGTCACGTATTGGCAGTTAACAATGTGGCCATATTCTCGGACTCGCAGGTGACGGGAGCGAATTCTGGAGGTCCAATTCTCTGCGTTCCCGCCGGGAGGAATGCCAACGAGATCAACGGTGTCCAGAGTTGAAATGCCCACTTCCGTGACCTGTGCAAGGCAACGCTCATTACATTCGACGTCAACACTGATAAAAATCGGCTCTTTCCAGAATGGAAACATCGCTGGATTATTCAGATCGAGGCGAGGGATCCCAGTGTCACTTGTATCGTCAAGACTTTGCGCCATACTGCAGTCATCATTTCGCTTCTCTTCCCAGGATCGTTCGTCAATGAGTTCCGGAAGATCTAGGGAGTGGTAGGGTTGTAGAGCAAGGTAGCAACGCATTTTCTTCAGAGCTTGTACCAATTCTATTTCAGCCTGAAGCCGGATCTGCTGTTTCTTCGCCTTGGATGCTTTGCTCCTACTCTTGCTTTTCGACGCATCTATTCCATGTTCAATCATTTGCTCGTACGCGAGACGCGATTCATCCATCTCGGTAGGAGGCTCATAGTTGGTGCGCAGAGGGATGGTCGCTTCCAGTTCGTCTTTCATCTCCCGGCTTGTACACTGGCCGACGAACGTCGGTTGAGGGACTCCCTCCAGGTTGAAGTCCAAGAGCATTCCCATTTCACTTTCCTCCGGAATTGACAGCGTAACTTCAAGCTCACAGTTGATCTCCTGTATGAACTTCCGGACTTGAGCAGCAGGCACGAGCAACAGTGGACGTGGCCTGAGCTGAGGAGAGACGTGGACATAGTATCTGTGACATTTCTTCATCAGTAGACAGCTATAAGAGTGTAAGCCAGGTAACTCACAGATCCCAGACTCTCTGCCAAAACTTCCCTCCGTTGAAAAATCGGCTGGCTACCGTCTGTGACAGTTCTTTGCGGACAAACTTGTAGGGATATTTAGATATAGCCATAAGGGGACAGAAGAACCCATCCAGTGGTGTTGACGGCTCCTCTTGCTCATGGCTCAAATATTTAGTGTCTGGTGTCTGAGTGGATGCGTTGCACTGGTCCGTCTCTTGGACAATGCTCTTGTCGAGCCCTTCGGCGTTTTCCTCTGCTTTGGTATTGGATTCCGAGTCTTTGTCGTCCTTTTCCGGCTGTACTTCTTCCTGTGTTACTACAGTCGAGGAAGCTTCTTCCGTTGCCTTGGGGTCAGGTATAGATTGGGCATTGAGGCGGGTGTTGAACCGAAGCAAAGACTCGTCCTCGCTGAAGAGCAGCTTCAGGCGTTCTGTTCTGTCCATTTCGAAACTTTGAATCGGATGACTGCCACGATTGACGGGGACAAGAGAGCTGAAAGAAGCAGTATTGATAGCTAAGAGGGACGAGCAAGTGTAAGGGCAAAGTTGGGAAGATAGGAGCGTTTGTCCTACCAGGACTGGCAAACGAGTCCGTGTTGGTAACCACGAACCAACACATGATACTAGGTTACTTCCTTGCGCAGATATCAGTGAATGATGAGGTGTACTGTAGTCAGCTGTTATCTCAATCGCATCATGGGGGATCATCTTCACTCTTCTCACGAGTCTCGAAACCACCATGCTATCAACCTATCTTCTTGTCATTGGCTTCACTGGTTTCATTTCCTTTCTGCTATTATTCTGTTATTCTATCCGAATCCCAACCTCCACAATGGAACCATGGTCTATTAAGGTCGAGGTATAACTTGACTTGGAAAGTTGGATCCTACCTCTTCATTAACCATCATGGTCATGGATATATATCCTGAGAGACGTTATTATTCACAGGAACCAATGCCTCCATCTACCATGCGACACCAATCCTGTTGGCTAAGACCATATCAGACACTACCGGTCAATAGAAGCAAATCAATTGAAGTGATTCCATTTCCTTGTTGATGTGGCTTGGCCGTTTGTTGACAATCGGCCACGGCGAGACGCAAATGTAAATATAGACGCGGAACAATATTTCACCGACGCCCGATCAACAACATTGTCAGACCGCGGGTGATCCATCATAGTTGTGGCCAACGACGCCGCATCAATCTCTAGTCCTTGTGCCCGTTGCGCATCTTTTTCCACTGAGATTGTCGATCGCAAGCCGCTTCGGGCCTGATTCGAAGCTACATTCCATGCATCTGCCTTGATCGCTACCTTCATGGCTGCGCGGATGGTGCCACCCACCTAGCCCCCTACCATACCTCTTGCCCTGTCTAGCTTGCATTTGCCGCTACCGTCTCCTCGAATCTTCGTTGTCTCCCTAGCTTCAGACGGAAGCCATGGTTATGGCAGACTATAATGATGAAGACGGTGGCGTCATTCTCGATGGTCCCTTTGACCCTGATGCGCAGGCCACCGTTACCGACTTCATAGATTACACCGAATACCTCCCCGCGGACCTGATCCGTTCCCTCACCCTCATACGTGGCTTGGACGAGCGCTATCTCGAGGCCACACAGAATGTTCACGAACTCACCAAGATGTGGGGCCAGCTCCCCGACCTTCCCTCCCACGAGCGCCCAGACGCGCAGACACTCCGCAAAAACATCTCGGCGCAACTTGACCAAGCAATCAACGCGCGCGAGTCTGCCTATGCCGAAGCGTGCCGCCTCTACGACGTTGTCGATCGACACTTCAACCGGCTGGAGTGCATCAAGCAGAAACTCCATGCACTGCCGAAACCGGAGTCACGCGAACCTACACCTCCGGAGACTCAGACCACGCTTAATAAGCGAGGCCGATCCTCAAAGAAGGGCGAGGCCGCTGCGCCGGCGACAACGCGCATAAAATTACGGCTTGATGGCGCGGCAAATGCGGGGACTAGACCAGAACAGAGGTCGAGGAGTCGGCGGGGAAAGCTTGCTGCGGATCATCTCGCCGGCCTTCATCCGGACTCCCCGATCGCTAGCACCGAGCACTCAGATGTGGAGGCTGGAACGAAACCGACTCGCAGTGCTGCGCCTGAGGAGCTTGCGGTCGCCAAAGGCAAGAAGGAGAAACAGACTCGTCGATCACGGACCTCTGCTCCACTTACGAACGGTCATGGCCATGGCCATGGCGCTGCGATGTCGACCAGCAATGCTCTGGCAATGCTCAAGCCCCCACCGGAGGATGCCAAACCTGGCAGTGAAGATTTGCCGTGGCTGCGCTTGACTGAATGGGAGATGACGAAACTGCGCAAGAAGATGAAGAAGAACGCTGTCTGGCAACCTAGTGAGGTCATGATTCACCGCGAACTCGCTCTCCGCGGGCGAGGGTGGGATGCCTACCGGCAAGCCAAAGCGGAAGCAGAAGCCAATGGCACCGAGTTTCTTGACTGCGACGATATCATGAACAATTATGTCCCAGGAATGTTGACGCGGCTCAGCGATGCGAACGGCATCGAGGGTGTAGTGGAGACCAAGTTGAGCAATCGTGGAATGAAGCTCAACGAGGCGAAGAAACTTAAGCGGGAAAACATGGCCAGGGAGCAAGCGGCAGCGGCAGCCGCCGCAGCGGCCGAGGCCAAGCGTCTTGCCGAGTCTGGAACTACAGACGCAGCAGTTCCCGACCAATCTCAGTTGGAGTCATCCTTGGCCGCTCGGAAGCCAAGCAGGGCCTCGAAAAAGAGAAAGATGGATGAAAGTGTAGCCGCGGAAGCTGCACCCGCTCCTCCAGTGGACTCCGAAACTCGTGGTTCTCTACGAAGCTCAGCAAAGCGCCGTAAAATGAGCAAGACACCTGTGGAGGAAGATGCGGCAGTGGTCGACGAGGCCGTTGATCACGCATTGAACATCGAGAGTCAAAAGGCGTCACCCGTACCATCAGCGGCCAGCACAGTAGCAGCAGCTCAAACCAAGGACATCAAAACCTCGACCCCGCCCGTCAGCCGACCTCCGTCCCGGCACCTTGCGCCTGGTGCATCGGCGGAAGTAGCCGCTCTTGCGCCTGGCAAAGATCTCCGTCGAAAGAGTGCCACGCCTGCAAGGAAAACTCCTGTCCCGGAAGGATCTCAGGCAGGCGGCCGTCGCAGAAAGCGTCCCGCTCCCGGTCCGGTATCCTCGGGACAGGACGGCGGGGCAGCGGTCAGCTACGGCCGACGCAAGGCGAAGCCTGCCAAGAAGAGGTTCGGACCACGCGAACAGGGACAGAAGGATGGTTCGACGAGGGAGGACATTCGCATAGATGAAGATGGCGTGTTGGAGGAGATTGACCCCAACGAACCGCGGTATTGTCTCTGCGGAGATGTCAGCTTCGGAACGATGATCTGCTGCGAGAACCAGGATGTAAGTTCCTGCCTTGTGTCCCACCTTCTTCAATTCATACTAATGATTATGATTCAATAGTGCGACAAAGAATGGTTTCATCTCGAGTGCGTCGGTTTGTCCGAAGTGCCCAGCCGCACCGCCAAATGGTACTGCCCGGACTGTCGGGTGAAGTTCCACAAGGGCAACGACGGGATTGTCAGGCTGAGCTCTCGCCGATAAGAAGTTCGATTCCTCGCGGTGCTTACTGCATGTATGGTGGATTTTCTCATTTGGCGTTCTTTCTGTGCATGATACCACGACCTTTCGCGCTATGTTTGTTACTGGTATACTTGCAGATTTCTCCATAGCATGGCGATGGTGCAGTGGTGTTCGGAGTTGGATTCTCGTCTTTTGTTGCAAGGGTAGATTGTACGAAGTTTTTTGCGTTTGAAAGGTCAAGGGACTTGAATGGATCATTACTTCACATGTCAGTATACTATGTACTATGCAAATTCATATATCGTAACTGCAGAATCTACTTCAACTCCCACTTGTCGCCGTCGTGAACAATCTCCACCGCGCGGTTCTCGTCCAGCGAGATCCGGCCCGCGTGCAGGATCGCCGTGGTGGCAATGGTATTCTTGAGGGTCGGCAGGGGCCGCGCGTCCAGCTGGTCCAGCGTCACGCGGCCCTCATTCAGGGCCGTGACGGCGTCGATGAACTTTTCGAAACTGATATACCCGTAGCCCGTCTGGCCGCCAAAGTTGCCCTCTTCGTCGGGGGCGTAGCGCATGTAGAACCTACCCCCGAGATCAGCAAATGCCCTTCAGTTAGAAGCAAGCGACAGAGACTTACGGGTTGATCCAGGCCAGCTGGCCCTGGTTGTCGTCGACGACGTCGTAGCCGCGCTTGGCTTGGTTGATGCGGATCTCGCCCTTGGAACCCATGTCTGCTAGCAGTTAGATTGCAACGTTCACCGAAGCCGGACGGGATGACCTACAGTGGAAGTATTGGTTGGAATGGACACCGGCCTTCTGGGGAGCGGTCCAGCTGGCTGTGTAGACACCCGTGGCGACCTTGGAGGGGTCCTGCTTGCTCTGCCAGTTTACCAGCAAGGTGATGGTGTCCTCCGTCTCCGGGGTGCAGCCCAGCGCAACGGCGGTGCCCTTGGCCGCGGACGCGGTGACCTTGACGGGAGTGTAGTCGGGGACCATGCTCTCGTTGATGTCGATGTGGTGGGAGTTGAGGTAGTAGGAGATGTCGCTCTCCTTGCCGGCCCAGGCCTTGAAGGTCTCGAGCTGGCTCTTGGGCTGGCTCATGTAGGAGTAGAAGTAGTTGAAGTCGCCGAGGTTCTTGGCCTTGGCGCGGGCGTCCGAGTAGGCGGGATCGAAGCGCTTGTGGTGCTCGATGTAGACGAAGACGCCGTGCTTGCGAGACTCCTCGAGGAGGGTGAGGTGGTCCTGCAGCAGCTTTGTGGCGGGCTTGGTGATCATGACGTGGATTTTGCGCTGGATGGCGTACAGGGCGATGGGGAAGTGTGTGGGGTCAGGAGTGAAGATGGTGATGGCGCTGCCAGGCTCCAAGGCGTCAATTGCTCTCTTGTAGGCGTCGGGATCGGTTTGATCGTCAGCGGGGAAGGACTCGAAGGAAACGTCCAAGCCATTGTAGACCTCGGAGATGTTCTTGCGAAGATGCTCGCCTGGCCAGTTAGCTAACCTTCCAGGTGTCTGGATCCGGGATACGGTCGCCTTACGAATGCCAGGAAACTTGCGTCCGGAAACTCCCACCATGCTCAGCTTGCCAACCTTGCCCCGTCGTCGGAGGTCAAAGAGGGTCAACCCGACAACTCCAACCTTCTTGTCCGAACCAGAAGCAGCACCACCCACGAAACCCGTGGTGTACTCTCCAGTTCCTACCTGCAGGTCCATTAGCCAGATTCGGTGAGTCGAAGCAATCGGGAATTACTTACCATCAACACACTAGGCGCCATCTTGAGTGCTCTCGTGGATAAAATCGAAGATGAAGCTTTAGTTATCAGCGTGCGGGGTAGAGGAGCAGATGATATTAGGGGCGCAAGAGGGTATCTAGAAGAAAGAGAACAAATTTCAGGTTATATTATCGAATCCCACAGTCCACGGCACAAGGAGACTTTTGTAATCCCCGGTTCCCAGCTGCGTACGGACAGATTGACGGAAGAACGAAGGAATCCTCCAGCCTGAATTCTGCCGTTGGAACAGCGTCAATAGCCGATCCACATGTCGAATGGGGTACACAAGTAACCACAAACACTCTATTTGTGGATGATCTCGTCGCAGTGAATTCGATGGAAATGATGTTATAGTTCCATGAGTCTGCAGTAATACAGAAGAAGCAGCCATGGTCTGTTTCAGAGACGACAGCAGCTTCCTACTGACTGTATTGAGGATTGGATAGTTGTTGTCCCTCCTGTATGTCGGTCTTTGCTTCTCAGGCACCAAAACGGCAAGTTTCAATACCGACGCAAGCCATAGCCTGATTGGTGGAAATTCTTGATCCGTCTTGTCACGGCGAAAAGGCCGACGCCGGAGTGGGGCAACTGATACAGAGAAGACGGAAGTGGGGGAAGTGGGATGATAGCAGTCACTACGCGGGGTAGAATCATCGCGGATTATAGCCTGGACTGAAGAGGAGAGACTCCGTGTGAACCCTTTTTTTTTGTGGATTTATATTTATAGACAGGCGCCATGTCAGACTCTTCCAGCCTGCTAGGCTGGTATCATAACTTTTCCTCTTATTCGTCCTGATTGAGCGCGACTGTTGTTGATCAGATTGTTTACATATCCATATCCGTATGTGATTCTCCCCTCCCAAAGCAATATTAAGGACTCTGTATACTGACCAGATTGATCACAGCATACCATATCAGCTCAATCATATCATCTCGTCAAAATGTCGTCGCGCACCCCTCTCCGTCCCGGAGTCTATGCTCCCACCATGACCTTCTTCAACCCCGACACTGAAGACCTCGATGTGCCAACCATTCGCCGCCATGCCGTCCGCCTGGCCAAGGCCGGTCTGGTCGGCCTGGTCACCATGGGTTCCAACGGTGAAGCTGTGCACCTGACCCGCGAAGAGCGCAAGACAGTCATCCGCGAGACACGTTCCGCCCTGGTCGAGGCCGGGTTCGCCAACGTCCCCGTCATCGCCGGCGCCAGCGAGAACAGCATCCGCGGCACCATCGAGCTGTGCAAGGAATGTGCCGACGCCGGCGCTGAGTACGTCCTCATCGTGCCCCCCAGCTACTACCGCTACGCCGTCGGCAACGACGAGACCCTCTACGAGTACTTCACCGCCGTTGCGGACGGTTCCCCGCTCCCCATCATCCTGTACAACTACCCCGGGGCCGTCGCCGGCATCGACATGGACTCCGACCTCATCATCCGCATCTCGCAGCACCCCAACATCGTCGGCACAAAGTTCACGTGCGCCAACACGGGCAAGCTCACCCGTGTCGCCGGCGCCCTCAACGCCATCACCCCTCCTTCCCCGCTCGCTCCCACCACAAAGAAGCCCTCCACCAAGCAGGTCGAAAACCACCCCTACGTTGCCTTTGGCGGTATCGCCGACTTCACCCTGCAGACGCTGGTGTCCGGTGGCTCGGCAATCCTGGCCGGCGGCGCCAACGTCATCCCCCGTCTGTGTGTGCTCATCTTTAACCTCTGGAGCGAGGGCCGGTTGACAGAGGCCATGGAGGCGCAGCAGTTGCTCAGCAAGGCCGACTGGGTGCTAACCAAGGCGGCCATCCCCGGCACCAAGAGTGCGATCCAGAGCTACTATGGCTACGGTGGGTACCCTCGGCGGCCATTGGCCCGACTCAGCGAGGAGCAGGCGCAAGCCGTGGCGGATAAGATCAAGGATGCCATGGAGGTGGAGCGTTCATTGCCTGACATTGCATAGACTTTTTATCTTCGTAGTTTACTTATTTAAATCCAAATGAAGCTATGATTGGTTATGTTGAGGACGAGATACTTTCGGGCTGTTTGACGCCGCTGTAGTACTATAAATTACGTACTCCGTACGCTTACTCGGGATATCATTGCAACAATGATATCCCCTCAACTCCTTTCGTAATTGTCGAAATCTCTGGCTTCATTTTGCCGGATAGACTTCAATGTTCTCTTTTAGCTGAAGCAGAAATCAGTTTCTCCAAATCCGCGAGGCCACCCCCACGCCAGGTACAATCCAGCTTGATGCTGATAGGTGGACAATTTACCCCGGGCGGGCAGCTCTCGAATACTACCATATCATCAGAAGACATGCCGAAAAAGAGTTATGGATAAAAAACTTGTTGTCTGCGACGTTTGAATTTTGTCAATGAGGTTGAATCTCAGTATTCACTGTGGTTTGTCGTGATGATGGAGTGCGTTAAGTGATGATGTCCATTCTCTGAGGGAGGAGTCCACAACGTAGAAACTACGCTCATAGTTCGTGTCCAGCTTACCCGTAAGAGCCAGTATAGATCAAGACTGTAGTAGGTCTGACGATCAGTCTCGTCAATTAGTCTAAACAGCAAGTATGAAACGTATCTGTCGGAAGAATCCAAGGAAACTCAACTCGATGTGGCTGGCAGCCTGGCAATTGCTGCGAGGAAAAAGTCACGGTAAGTCTTAGCTCCGCAGTCGAGAGTGACAATCATAATTGGAGAAGTGGGTTGGATCAACCAAGTGGGTTGGTGCGTTCAGGACGCTGCGTGCCAGACTTAAAAGATGGGCGGTGGTCCTGCCTTGGAGGGGCTGCTTTTCCCTCATTTTCTCTTAATCCTCGTGTCTGTCCTTGGCTCTTGACTGTCACTGTCTCTTTGTTGTCTGATAGCGATTGAATCCATCCTTCACAATGCCTTACCCCGACGAAGCTGAAGGTTTCCAGGTCGACAGCCCTGAGACTTTCACCACTTTCCACAAGAGATTTGTATGTGATGCTTGCTTGTTGCGACTTGGCTGTCGTTGCTAATTTATCTCTTGTTGCGTATAGTTCAAACTGAAGCCTTTTGGTGATTATGGTGAGTGGGCATCTTGAATCAAGCGCCAGCATAACGTTTGCGATGGCTGACACAATCCGCTTAGATGTCGACATCAAGATCGAAGCGTGCGGTATCTGCGGTAGCGATGTGCATACGATTAGTGGTAAGTCTTGAGTTTGGTCTAAGAAGCTAAAAGGATAGCCCCGCTAACAGCGTTGTTCAGGTGGCTGGGGAGAGCAGAAATTCCCCCTTTGCGTAGGACATGGTAAGAATGGGTCTCTCTAGCAAGCCAAGGCAAAACATGTCTGACTAGAGTTGCTTCGACAGAAATCGTCGGTTGTGCAATCCGCGTCGGCCCCAAAGTGACCCTGATCAAGGAGGGCCAGCGCGTCGGCGTCGGCGCTCAGTCCTACTCCTGCGGTGAATGCAAGCAATGCAAGAACGACAACGAGACATACTGCCCTGTCCTCATGATCGACACATACGGCGCCGAGTGGCCCGAGACTGGCATCGTCAGCCAGGGCGGCTACTCCTCCCACGTCCGCACCCACGAGCACTGGGTATTCCCTATCCCCGACGCCCTCGATAGCAACCTCGTCGCCCCTATGCTCTGCGCCGGTCTGACCGCATACTCTCCTCTGGTCCGCAACGGGGCCGGCCCCGGTAAGAAGGTCGGTATCGTCGGCCTGGGAGGTATCGGCCACTTTGGCGTGATGTTCGCCAAGGCGCTGGGTGCGGAGGTCTGGGCCATCTCCCGCAGTCGGGCCAAGGAGGCCGATGCGCGCAAGCTTGGTGCGGACGGATACATCGCCACGGCGGAGGAGGGCTGGGAGAAGCCTCACCAGTTCTCGTTTGATCTCATCATCAACTGCGCCAACTCCTCCGAGGGCTTCGATCTGGCCAAGTACCTGTCCATGATGGATGTGCACGGCCGCTGGATCAGCGTCGGTCTGCCCGAAGAAGAAGGCCAGGTCATCAAGGCGCAGCACCTCATCTCGAACGGAGTCCTGATCGGAGCGAGCCATCTGGGCAGCCGGAAGGAGATGCTGGCCATGCTTCAACTGGCGGCCGACAAGGGCCTGAAGAGCTGGGTGGAAGAGCTGCAGATCAGCGAGGAGGGTCTCAAGGAGGCGATGCTCCGGATGAAGAAGGGAGATGTTCGCTACCGGTTTACCCTGACTGGTTATGACAAGGTCTTTGGTCAATGATTGAATCAGTGATGTGATGCACTAGTACGACTAAGATATGAGGATATGACAGAAAAGCTTTGTATAGTTTATGCACAGTACAGGTGAATAATCCAAGGCGCTACTTAATATACTGCCCCCGATCCACAAGGTACTCGATGTACTAGTGACCAGTAGGGTATTGCGTTGTTCATAGCGGACTGAACAGTAGCAATCCATGAATTGCACCTAGAATTTTCAAAATCGAGTATTCAGAGAGATATAACACGGAAAATTGTGCCCGAGAAAGAACTCGAGAGGAAATGTTCTTGCTTGAAGCCCTGACTGTTAAGGGTTCCCGCTCCTTTTGTGGATAGACGGGGACGGAAGAGAGATCTAAATCGGATTTCAACAAACTGATATGTAAATTATTAAGAATCTTCTTGTCTGCCCGTTATCCTACAGTAAGAAAAGCATTAAAAAAGACAGTCAGTCATTGAAACAAGGAGACCAGAGATGTTCCCTACGCTACAAAACCATGTGCCTAATTCTACACCCAAAACTGAGTTGTCAGAAGGCTAAATAAACCCTGACTCGTGTACTCTCCGTAGTCTTCGGTGATGGCGAATTACTAGAAGTGGTGTAGCGTGCCTATTCGGGGAAAGCGCGTGGTTGAGGCTTGGCATCGCGGTGCGTGATCTATAGAGAGGTATAGCCTCCTCCTTGCCATCTCGAGATTATGGCCAACTTTCGTCGCTGTTTTTCCATTTTTCGCGGCCTTCCGGCTCATGACATTGAGGTATTTTTGCTATCGGTTTGTACATCCCGTGTCCTGCACTTCGCCACCTCCTTTTGCGCCCGTGAGTTGGCGCTCGTCGTGTCCGCCCGACTGTCCTTGATTTTCCTGAGAATGGAATTTCTGCTTGTGTGGGAGCTTGACAGACTATTAATTCTTCTTTTTATAGATAATGTGACATGAATTACATAGAACCGGTGCTATCAAACTTCTCTGAGTGAATCAACATGATTTCTCCCTCCTATACCTGACACAGAGAAGGCGTCAGTGGAGAAGGATTCCGAGTTGCAATCCGCCATACGATAGCATGGTGGGCTAGAGGACCATTTGTGTAGTTCAACAAATAAGATATCCTCCGTCACTCCAAGGCGCAGCATTAAACGCTTTGTAAGGGGGATTCATACTGGTTTAAGAGCCAATAACCCGAACTATTCCTCCTCCTACCCCAAGTTTACAATGGAATCTTTACTCCCAGAGATTTTGCTTGATATACTCAAGAGACATGACTTAAAGTCACTTTCAATATTATCCTTGGTTTCAAGAAAAATGCGAACTTTAAGCCGTCCTTTGCTTTTTCGAATATTTAATGGGGAGACCGCATCACCGGAATGATTCTTGGAGCATTTAAGGAGCTTTTCCCAGCACCTTCTAATGGAGCCTTCCCTTGCTAATCAAGTAAGATCTATAAGTGCCCGGTGCGTCCCAGAAGCAGATATTGCCGAAGTTCAAGATATGTTCAAGTTTCTCCTAGAGAGAATCCCAAATCTCCACTCGAGGTACCTGAGGCTCAACAATTCACAAAATCCCTTAACGGCCCACTACTGGATAAAAACTATTTGTGTTGTCTTCAATCTTTTACATCCCTGCCTATCTATAGGATGATTCATCCTATGTATTGGTCGACTCTCTATACTAGTCTACAATGTTGGAGCTCTATCTTTAGGCTCAGGCAGTTATCACCCCTTTCGCTCGGGAACTGCGAGGATGGAGAATACCATGCGGGCGTTCTATCTGAACTCCAAGCTAGTGGAGGCCTTTTACTCCGTCACATTAATATACAGAACAGCAGCTTGGGGTATACCGTTTTTGCACGTTTAGTCTGAAGCTGCAAACGCCCTGAATCATTCATTACAGTTCCCCTTCTGGATATTTGTTGGAAGATTCAAATCCTGCGACAATCATTCGGGCACTTCCGTGGCATAAGGACAGTCTCGAGTTTCTTACATTTGACTTCCGTTCGAGAGACGAGGATGAAGCCCTGAAATATAAGTAGGCTGCATGCTTCTAGAGTCATTTGCGTGAGGTAAATCTTTTAAAAATGTGATTTGGAGACTTCTTTAGTAAGACTGTTTGAGGAGTTTATTGCTATCATAAAGTCCTCATAAAAAATCCAGGCTTCTCTGCAATAGCATTTTCTATTGATCTTGAAGCTCATGCAACGTCTAGCTTGCTGATCAGCAGAGCAACGGTTCAGCAAAAGACCTATACTTTTGAGGCCCCTTATCATCAAGTATTCTATTTCCTGTACATAACATTAGTTTCCCTTGTGCTGACATTCTCTGTTGTTTGAAGTTATCGTTGACAGTAACACTTTGGAACGGAGATTAAGGTACACTTGATTCTGGGAGATCCGGATTTCGAGGAAGACAGGAGTAACTCCAATCCTGAGCATTTGACTGAGATCCCTCATGTTGACTCTGGCAAGGTCGTTCTTTTTATAAAGGGGTCGCCGACAGTCGAGACTCATTACGAGATGCGTACTCTCGGGGTAAAGTATAAGGGTGTGGAGGAGTTCGAGCTCTAAAGCACTCAGTAGATCGAGACTTAATACTTCATACAGTTGAGAACTACTCTAGAAATGGTTGAAGCAAAAGACGTATTATGCTGATATCTAGTTATAATACAGTGGCGCTCCTCTACGCTTGATATAACCAAATTTGAACCTTATATTCCTCCATATTAGGTGTTGCGATAGCAGGCTTGAGACTCACATAGGACTACCTATGCCAAATAAACGGGCCATTCCATTTAACAAAGGCAGCCACTATTTGAACTACCGCTTACGGAGTCACAGGCTAGAGATATATGATTGGCTGCATAATCCCCTCATGCCCCAATATTCAATTTCTAGCATAGATTAATCGAATGAGGGGTTAATTCATCATTTTAGTGCCTCCGCGCTATGGTCACGATGAGACTCATTTCGGAGTAGGTCTATCTTCCAGCCTTCCCTTTAGAATACGCTTAACATAACAACTCTCGCAGGACTTTACTCGAGGCACCTAGGCGCTCAAACCCAACTCTAAATGCTGCAGGCACTCTTGCAGTGTATACTCAAAGCACATACTCTTTTCACTCTCAAACAGAGAAAAAGGAAATCCGCGTTATGGATCTTACGACTGGTCGATCGTGTTGTGTCACTGAGAATCCCAACGCCAGATCACCTCAGTGGGTATCAAAAAGTAATCAGCTGATATGGCTTGAATGGCTGGAAAGCGGCAACACCGACTTGGTGGTCAGCGACGCACAATGCACGACCACTGAGCTCTATAAAGCCGGCACAGTCCCCGGCCAAGCCTTTGACCTCAAGGTGACTGAGCAACTGCTGCCGTTCGGAGAGGACGACGAGAATGATCTTGCGTTTGCGATTAGTGGCAGGGCGAATCTAGATGGTTCTCTAGTCAATCCAAAACAAATCGCGGAATTCACTGGCCACAGCACCGGCCGTTTCTACACGACCTTCCCTGTGAGAGACGAAAGTTCGTATGTAAGTGGATTAAAGAACTCCATCTGGTATGGATCTCTGCACCGATCTAGGCCAGGGAGTCGGTATAGTATCTCAGGCATTTCTAATCTCATGATATTTGCGGGACTAGAGGGATTAGAGTCGCCCATCTCACCTTTGGGAGGGGAAGAGAGCTCACATGAATTTGAAATTCACCCCTTTGCCATGGTATTTGTTGCCAGGGACAGAGAAGTCAACAGTGCTACTCATACAGCATGCTCGTGCTATGTCCAACCCGTGGAACGCTGGGATCAACAGAACAGAGACCCTATCTATCAAGTATGGCGGTGTAAGGGATTAGGAGGGGCAATATCATCACTTGCAGTGGACAAGTCACATGTGGATCGACCCATTGTCTTCCTATCCCAGAAGAGGGATGGATATACAGCTGACAAGAACCGTATCATATACATACCAACGCCATTATACAAAAAGACGTGTGAGATATTCGCATCTGCTGATGGCAATGGGCTATGGAATCTTAGCCCATGCGCCATCTCATTTGGGAACAACGGCACGCTTCTAATCCAGGCTGAGATGAATGGACGAATCATGCTGTATCATCTTGAACTGGGTGGCCACTATGATCAGTTACGCCCTGAGGCATTGAGATTGGTTGATCCATGGTGTTTTGGATCAATTACACATGCGACACCAGTGCGATTGGATTCATCTAGAATCCTAATCACTCACAGCAGTCTAGTTGAGACCCCTAGCTGGAGTATTATTGACTTGTCTGCTTCAACTGAATTTCCAAAAATGCTGTCTGCGAGTCACGCTACGGATCTGAAGCTCTCTAAGACACAAGTCAATGTGATTTGGTTCGATAGTACTGAGAATCGCAAAATCCAGGCTTGGGTAATCAAACCATCCAAGTTCGACTCACAGCAACGATACCCACTGGCATACTTCATACATAGCGGCCCTCATAGCGCGTGGAACAACCAATGGAGTGTCCAATGGAATCTAGCATTATTCGCAGAGCAGGGCTTTGTTGTTGTTGCGCCCAACCCAGCAGGGAGCTCTGGGTTTGGACAAGCTTTCAAAGATTCAAGCCAATGTTCCTTAGGCGGGCTGCCCTATACAGATCTTGAGCGAGGCTTTGAATATCTGCAACAAGATAAGAGCCTCCAATACATTGACACTACTCGCTCCATCGCTGTTGGTGCCGGCTACGGAGGATACATGGTCAACTGGATCCAAGGCCACGAGCTTGGCCGTAAGTTCAAGGCCCTTGTGACGCATGATGGGATTTTTAGTATGACCTCCCAATTAGCCAGCAATCGGCAGCATTTTATCCACGAAATTGGAGGACCAATTTGGGAAACTCCTGATAAGTGGAGGAAATGGGATCCAGCACAATTTACAGCGAGCTGGCAAACCCCACATTTGATCATCCACTGTGAGTTGAATTACAAGAGAGTCATTGCTGATGGATTAGCTGCTTTCAATGTTCTCCAGCTCAGAGGCGTGAAAAGTGCGCTCTTGGTGTTTCCGGATGAAGGTGATCCAATAATAAATCCAGAAAATAATTTGCTTTGGTATCGCACTGTGATTGAGTGGATGAGAAAGTACACTGCTCAGGAACCTGATGATTATTGAAAGTCTTTCCTTTAACAAGATTGTTTGCCAAATGTAATTTCTCATGCTGTATACATGGTGGTTATAAACTATACTTCAAGCATTCCATTCCTGGCTTCTCAGAGACATCAAGGAGCAAATGTACTAAGAAGGCTGTATCATCAATTCCTGGATCAAGCGAGAAATCTACCAAGATATCCACACCATAGGTCTCCAAGACGCAGACCCTACACCGAACGATGAGCTATGGGCGTGCCACTGGTTAACTATTATGGAGAATCCAGAACAACTCGATGGGGTGTCAATCAAGGATGTGCGTTCGCTTTTTGAATCTTGGGTCGAGGGACAAGGTATGCAGGATCAGTGGAATAAATGCCGTGTTTATATGGTGATTGATGATGAGGTTCTTGAATTACTAGTGAATGAGGTGCCATTAGCAGAAGAATATAAGGAAATGCATGGTAGGCGCTGTGTAGAGGGGATCAACACATGGTATGTTAAGGTTATTGAGGCATTTCCAAAGCAGATGAAAATGATGAAGACTATGAAGGATGGATGAAATGATCACTCTATACAATGGTGAGACTATGGTCGTCTATGGATGATGCCACGAATATGGTGGACTTCTGGTATAGAGTGGAGGATGGAGATAATGGATTTTATTCAGCATGATCTTCACCACAGTTTTGATATGGCATCGACCGCTTAGCTCATGGAATCAACTCGATATAGGCATCCCAGGGTGAATATTTTCCAATACGCACAACGGAAACAATTCGCTGGCTACCGGTGAATCGTGATTATCTCCAACCCCCATGGAACCAAAACGCTCTGATATTGTAATCTATTTCATCCACGGCGGTGGTTACACCTTCGGACATCCTGCAGACAACCTCGTAGATCTCTTGTTCAATGCGGAAGTCCTGCTGAACAACGGCATTATTTGCAGTATCTTCTCCTTGGATTATTCCCTAGCCCCAGGAAGCTGCCTGCCAACCCCGATCATGGAGGCCGTTGCAGCATATCGGTACCTGTTCAAAGAGGAAATCATTAGTCCCTCCAAGATAATGGTGATGGGGGAATCTGCAGGTGGGCATCTTGCGCTCTCTTTCCTCGCAGCCTTGCAAGAACCGGGTCTTTGTCCGCGCCTTGAGAAGGCCCTGCCCAAACTGCAGTATGCAATCATTCTGAGCCCTTGGATTGATCTTCTCAATGCTCATCCAAGCATAGCAGCTATGCAAAAGAGGGATTTCCTGTCTAAGAGAGTATTGAATAAGAGCAGTCATCAGGTCCTGAGAGACATGCGTTGCGAAAAAAAAACACTTGTTGCTAATTTTGGTGAAAGGGTTGATGTCTGGGGTTCCTGGAAGCTCATTATACCGCAGAGGACATGGATCACTGCTGGTGGAGATGAGATATTTCTCGAGGATATCAAGCAATTATCTCGCGAGACGGAAAAGGATGGGGCTGATGTGTGTCTGCTGGCCACGGAGGGGAAAGCTCATGCCTGACAAACTGGAGAAGCCTTTGCTGACAGAAAGAGTCTTCTGTCTACAGCAATATCCCTACGGGGGGAACGGCCTGGAAGGATACACCGCGATGGCAACGCTTTTGGTAGCCGCTTTGAAACAGGGCGAGTCTATGACAGGAGAGGAATCTCAACGACTGCCTGATGCACATAGCATATTCAATCATACATTGCCATGATAGAATTACTGCATAAAACGATACAGTATATCGGTATTTTTTTTTACCTTTAGTTCAGTGATCTCGAAGGCCATTAGATGACTACCGCTGAGAAAATGAGGGGCCTATGTAATAGAGATATAACGGTAAGAGCGCGTTTACAAGAGCTTGGAGGCTAGAGGGTTCATGCTGGATCAAGCCAACCTGGTGAGTTGATGCACAAAATGCTGTCAAATTGACCGAGAGGTCATGGCACAGGAATCAGTTTGGTCGAATTATCCACGAGTACGTGTAGCTTAAGCTGTTTCCTCTAAAAACTTTGAGAGTATAAATGCTCAAGTTACTCAAGGCAAATTGACAGATGTATGTGAAGCGCTCTATGATGCAGCACGTAGCTTGAACGCAGGGATAACACGACCCGTGACGATACCAGCTGTATTGACGACTGATGGACGATGAAAATCGGCGAGCTCACTGCACGGTTCTGATGGTCTAATCTGGAGTTGTTCGAGAACTTCCATAATTGCAGAATACAGAATGTCGATATTACCATCCTCGATTTTCAGAGAAATTCCAACTGCACCTGTTGCGCCAAGTTGTGCAGTTTGCTCTGATGCCCGGATTCCTATCCCGTAGCAGCCATCTGCCCCGACCTTCCCAACTAATCCTCCCCGAAACGCGCGCATGAGCACGGTGCAGAATCGACCGTCACCACCAACCAGCTCTGGGTACTGAGTCATCGCATGAAAGATTCGGTTCAATTCTCGAGTTCTTGCTGGCACCGAGGTATTCTTCTCCATTTGGTCCGCCGACGAGGCAAGCGTGGCGTATACCGTTCCAAGACAGTGGAGGGGAATGGCAGGTGCTGGAAGGTTGCACCCGTCAATGGACCATCTCACATCTTCAGCTTCCAGAGCGCATAACTCCTCAAACACGCGCTTCACTCGTAACTGTAGCGGATGCGTTGGCTCGTGATAAGTTGCTATGTCCGCACCGACGGCCTTGGTAGCAGCAAGCATCCCGACATGTTTGCCTGAGCAATTGTTGCATACTGCAGTGGGATTGTAGCCGCGCCTAATCCATTCATTATTCGCAGAAGCTGACAAGGCCGGATGACCACCACAGCGAAGATCGTCTTCCTTGACTTGGACTTTGGCCAGCATATTGCAAGCCCTGGTGATATGCCTTTCCTCGCTGCTGTGCGACGCGCACATTAATGCCAGGTCTGCATCTTCGAGATCGAACTGCTCAAAGGCACCCGTTTCGAGTATAGCAAGTGCCTGGGCTGGCTTTGCTGCGGAGCGAGCTAACGTGATTCGTGATGGGTCACCGACATGAAAGTGTAGTTTCCCTGTTGCGTCAACAACTGAAGCGTGGACCTTGTGTCGGTTTTCAACCACTTCACCTCTATACGACACAACATAGTCGTCATCCTCTCCGATACTCATGGCTTTTTTCCTTCTTGCAGAAGCGCAGAATAATCGATGTCCTTTGCAGAGAAACAAGTTGGATCTATAACTATAAAGTGTTTTTGATTGTTAGGGAAGCAAGTTACCCTAGCAGCCCAGTTACCCCAGTCTTGGCTAACCCTTTCGAATCCGAATTGTTAGGCACAATAATGATGACAAACCAATAAGGTCTTGGCCACGTCGCGATGGTAAGATTTAGGGATTAGGCTTTTGCGTTCGGCTTCCGCATCTAAGCTTTAGCATTTCGGAGTGGCCACTGTCTGGACCCACTCAAATTTCACAGTTGTATCACTATTTTCATGTTCATCGCAACGTCTACTGCGTGTAGTTAGCCATTTGGCCTTGATTAGTGGCCCTCTCAAGTTGTGGATGCTTCGGCAACTTGAACAACGACCGGACAATGCTTTCTGGGCCGAAATGAACTGTTGATAAGAATTTGATATCAATATTATTATCCAATATCCCTACTATATGGTGATTCGATATCCGTACTGCCATTTACTTGTATGTGATATCCTTACTTTATAATTCAACATCCTTACTTTTATGAAGTGCGTGCAACCACGGGGAGGGCGGGAGTGGTGAGACGTAATTATTATTGCAAAAATACCAGTCCATATCATAGGTAGCTATACCTACTACATTATTCACAGTTTGAATCTGCATATTCTTGTTAGTCTAATAATGGAGAATGGTACGTGAATATAGCCCTTCAAGCATGAATATGCCCGCAGTCTCGCTTTCTCTCGACCTCTCCTTCTCCCTTTCTCCATACGCCATTTCTTCCCTCTGTACCTTTCTGATCTTCATATCCGCCTGTTATCCTGCAAACTCCTCTCTGAGTACCCTCATCACCTCTACTTTGTTGCTTCTCAATCCATCTCACAGTACCCTTTCTCAATTTACTCTCTCTCAACTCTTGACTTGATTCTGCCAAAATGGCGACATACGGGACTGATGCCTCGCCAGAGACGACCGAAGCTCACACTTATCAGCGTTCCCTGAGGGAGTCGTCCCCCACTGTGATCAGAGATAGGCACGACCTTATGGCTGACTTGCCACAAAGCTACCAGCTCCGTTCATTCTCGACATACTCCACTCCAAAGCAGCTGCACAACGCGGTGAAAGCCATCCATGACCAGTTGGAGCAGAACGATTGGCAAGGAAACCAATGGCTAGTTATCATGGGTATGTCACAAGCCGCCATCGACAGGCTGAGCAATAAGCCCGACTGCCTGCCGGGAATCTCTTTTCGATTCATGTGGATTGGAACTACAGGACTCATCAAAGTAGTCCCACCTATTGCACATGATCTGACCACATCGGGTGTGAGCCACTATATCGACCGGCAGTGCATTCGGATGGGAGTGGCAGACAATGATCTTGTTTGGGGACTTACAGTAACGACACCTGGTACCGTCACTACCCATGGCAAACAGCCGGATAATTGCTTCTACCCACCTAACCGCCAGCCTTTGGGTGGCCAGTTCAACGGCTGGCCGTCACTCGTCATAGAAACGGGAGTTTCAGAGTCTTTGAGAAAGCTTCGTCGAGACGCCACTTGGTGGTTCGAAAATTCCTCCGGGGACACCAGAATTGTCCTCCTCATCTCGATAAAAGTCCGCACCAAGGAGGTCAGATTCGAGAAATGGCAGCTTGCCCCTCCCAACCTTACACCTCTGACAAGACAAGGAATTAATCAGCTACGTCAGCAAGCCAACCTGATGCCCCCCCTTATCCAGCAGCAGGCAGCCAGCCAACTCGCCTTCTGCCATCAGGAAGTAATCGTTACGCCCACATCCATTACCGGTGGACCTCTTGTGATCCCTTTCAGAGCCATTTTTGATCGGCAGCCTACGGGAGCTGAAGGCGATATAATTATCAACAACCAGGACTTTCGTACCATTACGCGGTTTGTTTAAATGAACCTTTGTATACTGTCATTTGGCGGACGATCGTGCGTTCTGCTGTCTATTTCTTTTGATGCGCACTGCGTTTTGTACTGGGAACCTCTTGGATTTGGCGATTCAATCATGCACTCTGCATTTGGTATTTAAGGCCTCGGCATAGGGTTTTCCATCGTGGCATGATTTTCCCCTCTGCTGTGTACAAATGTAGAGGCTTACAATCGAGTTAGAATGAAATTTGATCTAACAACCAAACCATACAATAAATCCATCAAAAGAAGGTCGTGGTTGGAGGTGGGACGGCTTGCCCACGTATACTCACCTCTTTTTTTTTTGGATAGCTAACATATTGATAAAGATATCCCTACACATAGGATTCGGCTGGTTCCCGCGGACAAGGAATTGTTTGTTGTGGATATAGGTCTTTGGCGATGGCTGGAGGATTGTGAAACTAGAATGAAGATGATGCATTCTTATGGGGTGTTGGATTCTAATTATTGGCGCCATTTTGCAAACGTCTGCATGCTCCATTGCTCTGGTGATCATTGACTCTGTAGTTGCAGGAATTGGTAACAGCAAGAACATTATTGCATGTCCAGTTCTGAACGCCAAAGGGCCAATACATTCGGCTTTAGTAGGTAGGTCCCCTAACACGAAGCTATAGAGAAGAGTTTTTCACTAGATTATGGCGCAATTCAAGAATGCTTTTCCATACTTTTGATGTACACGCCAGGTATCGGAGTATTGATCCCTACATCAAACCAAATACGAATCAAGAACAAACCAAGACAAACTTGATAGGTATAGTTAGATCTGACTGCCTAAGGCAGCAATGCGCAGGCGTGGAATTGCCCTGCTTCTGGAGATCAAAGGCCACGCACAAGCGTGGCCTTTCCGTTGTCACTCACAATTACTCCATAAGGGAAAGTCTCGTTACGGATAACTAAATTGGATGTTTTATAAGCAGTGAAAAAGGACTTTTTTTGTTTTTTCTCAGCTCTGCCTGCAATAATAGTAACAATAAGTGTCTATTAGACTGCAGACGAGGCGTTATCATCGCCACCTACGATAAAGTTTTTCGAGAAAGGTCGACTTTGGAGCGAGTCTCCGTCATAATGAACTCTCCTCCCCCTTCACCATGGTTGGTATTTGAAGTTTGCCATTGAAACGCGGAGTTCTAGAAACGGTGTAGAAGGACGGCGTTCTTTGGGACGTGTCCCAATCTTTTCCCCCAACTCCTCAGTCGTGCGAAATTCCCAATCGGGCCTTATCGGGCTGGGGAGGCAAAAAAATCCCATTCTCACCGCCTGCCGTCACCCTTTTCCCTCTATTCCCCCCTGCTTCGATCTCTTTTTATCCCTTATTGCTTATTGTTCATATCCTTCCTCTCAGCTTTGGTTTCTTGTCAGCGTCCCTTTTTCTTGTTTCTTTCATTGTCTATTTTTTTTCTCCTTCGTTTCAGGGGGGTGTGCTGTACATTCTCCTCGCCCTGTGACCCTGGCGTTTCTCTCTCTAGTATATCTCTATCACGGGTAGATCTTGTTGCGGTCGCTCAGTCATTGTCGTCGATATCAGTTCCCTCTCTTTCGTTACTCTTATCAGTTTTGGGATTATTTTATTTAGAACCTACCGTCTTTCCATGCTGGCCCTTGGGAGTACATAAATATCCTCCGTCGACATACTCAGCTCCTTGCGTTGAACCCCTATTGTTTCAGATTGAAGGGCAAAGGTTTCCGAAGTTGTCAATATCTAGACTATTCCTCGGTCCCAGCTGGCTGGCGCTCGTGCAGAACGCAATTTCCCCGATACTCCACGACATCTATTCGGGTCTCATCCTGTTGCCGATCTCTATCTCGACCTTCCAAGCGCCATGATGCCACGAGAATCGGTTGCTATTCCCGCGCGACGTCGCCCCTCACTCTCTGTTATGACTCGCCCTCGCAATGCCACACTGTCAACAGCACACCCGTTCGCATTGGAACATGATGTTTGGAATGGGTCACTCTGTGCCGATAAAGACCACCATGACGATGAAGACGTTGTGGAAGAGACGAATCATTTCCCTGAACCTGTTACCAGGCGCCGTGCTGCAAAGAGCTTCTCCAGTCTGCGGCACCCCATGGATGGTTTGCGCGCTCTGGGCCGTCGCCTTTCTGTGACCATCCGTCACAAGTCATCCAGACATGCTTCTCATCACCACGCTTACGAGGACGTCGGTGCTGCGGTTCACGAGTCTCAAGACGCCAGTGGGTGTGGAGAAACTGTATCTGGGCAACCCTGGTGCAAGGGCTACAACCCCAACCGCCGCCCTTCTCTTACTTACGAAACTGCCTTGCAGACGTTCTACGCACCTGTTGCATCAGTTCCGGCCCCTATCCCCGGTCGTGGACTTGAACCTCCGATTCTTCCAGACAGTATTTACGCCGGGGCCGCCGCTCGGGCCGCTGCAGCTGCACAAAATGAATTGGCGAGGGCGGAACGAGAGTATATCAAATCATTCGATATGAAAGTCACTCGGGATTCGGAGAGCGGCATTGACATTGATCTGCGCGATCGCTCGGAATTTTCCGAAGTGGACCTGGCTATTGTCCGCGTTGATCCCGTGACCTACCTGCCACCTGAGATCATGTCGCTGGCTCTATCGTATCTTGACCCCGAGTCTCTGATGCAGGCTGAACTGGTTTCTCGTGCTTGGAGAGAGCAGGCTTCCTCTCGGCACATCTGGAGGCAGGTATTTCGTCGTGCGTATGGACATCGCCTCCCCAGCGGTGTCGCATCCAAGAAGAGGCAGTCGGCTGGCTTGGGAAAGCCGATCCCGAATCAGGACTGGAAGAAGATGTTCCTCGTCCGTCGTGCTCTCGATCATCGATGGAAGGAGGGGAAAGCGGCCGCAATCTACCTGCACGGCCATACGGACAGCGTCTACTGTGTTCAATTCGATGAGTATGTTTTTGAGTCCCTGTGTTACATGGTGATTTGATCTGACTTGGACTTCATAGAGACAAAATCATCACTGGTTCTCGTGATCGAACCATCCGGGTGTGGGATGCTCATTACCCGTGGCCGTGCCGTAAGATCATTGGTCCTCCTCCGGGCGAGGTCTCGAGCATTGGGCAGGTCAACAACCCGACTCAGCAGTCGTCGGGCAAGCCTCCTTTTCTCACAATCTGTCCTCCTCCTACCCTCGCGGCAGGAATTGTGACTCCCATTGACCAGAGCTCCGACTACCACAGTGCTTCCATTCTTTGCCTTCAGTTTGACGAAGAGATCATGGTCACTGGGTCGTCTGACTACACCTGCATCGTCTGGGACATCAAGAACGATTACAGACCGATTCGTCGTCTGGAGGGCCACAGAGCTGGCGTGCTGGACGTGTGCTTTGATGATCGGTATATCGTATCCTGCTCCAAGGACACAACCATTTGCGTGTGGGATCGGCAGACAGGCGCGCTGGTAAAGAAGCTTCTCGGCCATCGTGGACCCGTGAACGCCGTTCAGCTCCGGGGCGATCTTGTTGTGTCGGCGAGCGGGGACGGAGTAGCCAAACTCTGGAACATTACCTCGGGTCTTTGTGTCAAGGAATTCTCCAGTAAGGATCGTGGACTAGCCTGCGTGGAGTTCAGTGATGACGCTCGCACTATTCTCACCGGTGGAAATGACCAGTCGATCTACCAGTTCGACGCAAACACTGCCGAGATGGTCCGTGAGCTCAAAGGACATGCTGGTCTTGTACGGTCACTCCATCTGGACAGCATGAACCAGCGGATTGTCAGCGGCAGCTATGACATGAGCGTCAAGGTCTTCGACGCCCAGACCGGCGAGCTCTCTATTGACTTGCCTGGCTGGACCACCAGCTGGATGTTGAGTGTGAAGTCGGACTATCGACGCATCGTTGCCACCAGCCAAGATTCTCGAGCTGTCATTATGGATTTCGGCTATGGCCTGGATGGCATCGAGTTGTTGGAAGAGTGATCTTGACCGACGCCTTCCTTTTATGAACGTTGGAAATATGTTGGGGTTTGGAGTTTCCGGATGGTATACTGGCTCTTTTTAAAAGAACATGACATTTTTTCACAGAAGCGATAGATTTCTTTCGGTTTGAGCTTGTTAGACTTGGAGCCTGTTTCGGTTTTTGTGTTCTTTGATTCCATACAAAACGACGCCATAGAGATTAGACACTGGCTGTTACTGGTGCATTCAGTTGGATTTAGAATCAGAGCGCTACTGATTATACCCTGGTCCCTAATAGCCCCTATATAGCATACTTTGACTAATTTACTCATTTTTACCTCTGGTATATCCGACTCTTACTCATCATCACCTGTTTGCTAAATGATCTTGAAGCAAAGGGAGAGGGTGCACATGATTGGCCCGGGGGGCTCCTTAGCGCCAGGCAGAGCCGTGGGTTTCGAGGACAGAAGCAAAACAATCCTCTGCTCTACGGCTCCTCGTTCTCTTCTCCCCATAAACAAAATCAATTTCAATCAAAACAAAGACCATCTGTAGCTGAATTTTCTCTCCTTTCGATATCGCCCGACTTACAATTCCTCCCCGACGCCCTTTCAACAGTTGTGCATCTTCGCAGTGACAAAATTACCCCACCATGGGAGAATCAAGGTTCGTCAGGCCAACTGATCGTTCCCCCAAGGGGCTTTGTTTTGATGTCGAGCATCTTACTAATTCGAGCATTTCTCGCTATACAGACAGGAATTGCTGGCATGGATTAACAACCTGCTGCAGCTGAACTTGACCAAGATTGAACAGTGCGGAACCGGGTACGATTGACGCTCCTTTTTATGTCCTTGGAATAGTCGACCATTCCACGCCGACCCTACATGGATAACACGGATTTGAACACGTTCAAAGCATGATCCCAAAGTGCTGATTTGGTTCCACAGGGCCGCTCTGTGTCAGATTTTTGATTCGATATTTAGTGAGTGAACAGCTAGCAGGCTTCAAGGAGCCACTTGGTTTTGACCATTGTGTTTGGCTGGCTAACCTGTGGCCTCTCGTGC